AAACTTTAGGTCGTTGCGTTTTCTTGTCAATCTGAAGTATAAAATATTTACTTATAACATTGATTTTTATAACATTAATAAAGGCATATAATATGATTGTTACCTTTATAATACCAATAGCACCAAAGTGCTTACACAATTCATCTTCAGTAGTAGATGTGTTCATGCCCTGAATAAACACGGTGTCCTCCTGCGTGATCATGTCACTGCCCCCCCGGTCTCCGCCGCCGTAACCGCCTCCGTTGCCACCGCCTACACAAATATTGTATTTTTAACAAAGTGTAGCAGACAAATTTTTATAGATATTGACTACCCATTTTACTCTATTTGCATTGCGCAGTATTTTATTTATGAAGATCAAAGACGGATTTAAACTACTGAGCAACTTTCAAAGTAGCTCAACCCAACATACATTTTTACACCTCTTATTTTATTTAGTACTAAGACCTTATAACCTTATGCTTTTCGAATTGTCCATGTAAACCAAAATCACCCACTGTTGTAAAATAAATAACAATTTAATAACCAACACTGTGACAAAAAGTTGACATCATTGAATTGAAAAAACCTCCAAAATCATATTTTCACAAACCCATTGAAACTTTCACTATATTTTAACAAATTGTACCAATTTACATTCATTGTAAAATATTTATAATATTGAAATTGTCGTCCGAATAATTTGAAACAGGGCTGCCAAATGAAGATACAGTGTTCCTGGAATTATTGAGCCACCACTTCACCAACAAATAATGGCGTTACGAATGGAATATTGACGAATATAAAACCTCTTAATATAACATTAATATGTAGATAATTGACTCAATACCAGTTACTCTGTATAAACATGTTATCCAAAATGTCCGCCCTCCCACTATTTATTTGTTGACTATTATCCCTTTATTTTACCATGTTGTCTGTTGATATGTTGTCACATTGATATGTGTACTTTTTTGAAGCCGTCTTTTAGAAATAAACAGTCAACATAATATATGAAGAATACCTTGTATTTCCAATCAGAATATTTTATTTATATATGTGCAAGAGGAAAACTTTAGTTGAAGTTTCATGTAATTTTCCTGTTGCTTTAAATTAAAAAGATGCCCCGAAACATATGAACAAATTTCCAATTGCTTTTGTAAATAACTTCGCCACTTTTGTAAGTACTTAGCTGTTCACAATAAATATATGTTGAGACACTTAAAATATACATTGCGTATTATAGGATGGCGACTTAAAAAACATGTCAACAGGCATATGAAAAATTATATAACAAATGCTGATTGGCAGCCCTTTTTAATTACATATTAAAAATATGACAACAGCACCGATCGCTTATCGCGAGGAGCTTTACCTTTATTATAACCACCCCCCCTGCCGCCGCCACTAAAACAATAAGAAGACCGTTTAGTTTACACTGGGCAGGCTGGGGGCTCACTGACACACCAACGGCGCACGCAGACGGTTTGTCACCTAGGTACTGTTTAACCAGTAACCTCACACCATGGATGATGGATCCTTTTCTTTACCATATCATAAACCTTGACACCTCGAAAATCTTTGAACTGTTGGAGACAATAATGTTGCACACTTTGTAAGCATATTGCACACAAGTACAAAACAATAGTCAATGTATGTCACAATGCAATCATTTAGTCCAAAATAAATAATAGTTCAATAAAAGTGTAAGTGGAGGAAGTTATTAGATTTAAATTTTATAAATTATAAGAAATGATGTGGTACTCTATATATCCATAAAAAAAAGTGATGTTTGTGTCAACATATTGTTTTTAACCCTTGCTTCAATTTAAATATGCTTGGGTCTAACGCAGGTTTCCTCCATACATGCACAAAATCTCAGACTACAAATTTTGAACACTTTTCAACACTAACAAGTAAAATAGCATCCTAGTGTATTTTCTACTGTTGTATGCATATAGTGACATTTTTCCTTTTAAATTACTGCTTATAATGCAAATCACATCAATGGTATCCTATGTTTATCCATACTTTTCCTTTTCTCTATGTACACTTGCCTCTTTTACACCAATACTGAGTATATATATTCATCTCTTTTGTATATTGTAGATTATTAGAAGCGGAGATCACTTGAATAGAACCTCAGGTGAAAAACTAACTTCTTTATAGCATGAAATATAAATTGGTGCTTGAAGTTACATTTCACTTAAATTAAATGAGCAAAAATATCAAATACCGTACCATGTTTTAAATTGTTTTTGTAGCATCCAAAAAAAACACTTAAATTATTATTACTTAACCAATACTGTATTAAAGATAACATGAATTGTACCCATGACATTTTTCTGCTATTTTTACACGTTATTATCTTCCTGAATAAATGTTACACATAGAACTTTCCTATAGTTTTACCATGAGGATTAACTAGTTGCTGAATTACACTAAAAATATATGTCATATGTCAGTCCCCATAACTTTACATTCCCATGCACTTATTTTATTAAAGTTAAGGAAGCACAATGAAATATAGAAAAAGTGTTGCACAATATTAATTTACCTAAGACTTGCATTGGCCATTGATGCTAAAAATTTTAAACTTAAAGTTGATTTTTTAAATTAGTACAAATTGCTGTATACTCCATCATTTCATGGTGTTTCCTAAAACTTGGGAACCAACCTAATGGTGTGAGACCATGTTTCCAGGATAAATATCTCTTTTTTTTAGACACACTGAGACAAGAATGAAGACACCAAGACAACAAGAATGAAGGTCAAATGTATTTAAAATACGACAATCAGGGAATCTGGCAGTGTTTTACCTTAAAAGCTACAACTGTTTGAACTTTATGTACAAATTGAGACAATATAGCAGAACCTTAAATTCTACTTTTAAATGTGTTTGTAGCAATAAAGATTTTTATTATTATCTCATACTTTGCACCTACTTTTGTTATTTGTAAGAAGAGGCAGAGTTTGTCTTATTGCAAGGAATAAACAAGGCTTTTTTTCTGTAATGGAATACCACAGATTTCCATGATTGTTTATAGGTATCATAATATGGAATAAAAGGTAAACCACCAATACTTTGACTTATTTTAACAAAGAACAATGTAAATATGACTTACCCATATCCACTATCTCTATTTCCCCCGTCTCTATTGTAGCTGGAGCGGTCACCCCCTCCATATCCCCGGTCACCACCAGAGTAACCACCGCTGCCTCCCCTGTCATTCCCACCATAGCTGGAGCCCCCACCGCTCCGCTCGCTGCTGCTATAGTTGCTTCCCCCGCGGTCACTTCCGCTTACATTGTAGTTGTTACCACCGCCACCACTGCTTCGGTCATAACCTCCACTACCATAGTTTGAACTATAATTTTGACCGTAGTTATTGCCAGATTGACTGCTGCTGCCATAATTACTTCCACCTAAAAAATAATATTAGTTTTTAAAATTTACAAACTAGAAAATAAACTTAATCCTTAAATAATTCATTGATTTACTACTTATTTTTTACAACATTAATTAGTGGTCACAAATTGATTAGATTAAGTATTAAGTAAAAAGTTCATGTTCATTCATGTATACAGCAGTTGTGCTTAAAAATTAATATACCAACCTGAGCTTTGGGAATTCCAATCTTGACCTGAACTTTGTCCAGAATAACTGCCCTGACCCTGATTATAACCGCCTTGTTGACCACCGCTATAATTATCGTCCCCAGAAGAGGCTGCGGGTGGTGGAACGGAATATTGGGACGAATATCCTCCACTGTTGTAATCGCTTGATGAGTAGGCTACAAAATAATATAAAAACTTATGAAAAATCAGAGAAATCCGTCTTCAATACAAGGCAAGCACAAAAGTAAAACTTACGATCCCCCATTTTGTCTTGAACTTATCAACTTTTTAATATAGAGATGTCCAATTTAAGAAACTCACTAACATTCGCGAAACAATATTTTAAATTTTTAAGATGACAGTCTTTCACTCGATGGCAGATACACGAAAAGCCAAAAAAGCCACGAACGATTGATAAAATGGCGGCAATGCAGCGCACGCCGCTAAACAGGAAATGACAAGAAGGAGGAAAGGACATCATCCACTCTTTGTCTATGCTCTGAAATTGTGTTACCACTACTAGTGTTCCGTTTCCGGAAACGATACATTTGGTGGCAAGATCTTTATTTGTTGCATAAAATGTGCGCCTAATTCCTAAAATACTTTTGTGTTTTTTAACGCTGTTTGGAACAGTAACAGTACCCTGTCAATTGAGCAAATCATAAAGCTACGTTGCCTCAGGTCGATCTTTTACTGGAAACATAAAGATAGGAGGATTCGTAATGGACTTCGTGCTCTTCGTAAGTGAAATAGCTTCAGCTTTAGTCCCTACGAGCTGTCGCCCGCAAAATTCGTTAGTGCAGAACATTCCCGTGTGCATCTACGATTAAACAGCTACCTTCCAAAGTCCCGTCTAAATCGGTCCACCTGTTGCAGAGGTAGCGGTCTGGTCGACATTTTAACAGCGCGGAATTCGTCCTGTGAAAGTCACGTTAAATAGAGCCCAGTCGTTTCGGAGATTACCCATAACAAACTCGGCTTGCAGACAGACAAACATTTTTTAAATACGATTTTATTATTAGCAACGCAAATCCATTATCTTCCCGAAATTTGGATTTTTTTTTGATATTACAGACACTCCAATTCTATTAGATATATATAGATTAGAGAAGTCAGTTAAAATAAAACAAAGGAACAATGTTTTAGATTATATTTAATGAGTAATCAAATATCATGGTATTCTCAAACTTGTTTTTTTTTTAAATTCATGACCATAGTACTAAATTAAGTAAAATTGCTGAACATAACTTTGTGGAACGTTAACAAATCAGGTTCCACATTAGAATTTGTGCTGTACAATGCTGGCTTAGTACTGGTCCTAAAACAAAAAATCATAGTGAGACAACATGAACTTCAAACAATAAGAATACATCATAAGGTTTTTGTAAAAAACATATTTAAATGTATAGCGACAATTTAAAATTTTGTTAGGAAAATGAACACACCTGGCAAGTTTCTGACACTGAAAATGGAAAATAGCAGGAAGAGAACCAAAACATAACAAAAATAAAATACTAACCTTGATGTTGCAGACGTTGATCTTGGCGTTACAAGCAGGCAATTCATTGGCTGGCCGTCTAGTTGACGATTATGATACAAATCAACTGCTTTTTGGGCATCTTCTAAGCTATTATAAATAACTTCAGCTGTGCCGGCACGAACCAGACGAGATTCTAACATCCCACCCACATCACCAAACAATTCCTGAATACAATTAAACATCATAGAAAGCCTTAATAGATATTTATTTACTTATTACTAAATTATTGTTATAGGCAATAACATTTATCAAAGTGTGGCACAAAATTGATCAAAAACGTGAAACCTAATAAGCAACAAGCAGGCATATAATAACAATTCTTACCTCAATATCCCCACCTGTAACAGTATTTCGTAAATTACTGACTATTATTCTGTATTCCAGAACAGGTTTCTCAGCTTTATCCTCTTTTTTCTCAGTTCGTAAAGCAGCCATTGGTCGTTTTTTAAGTATAGATGGCGGCCTAGGCGGGCTTGCCTCTTTCTCAACAATAGCTGTTCTGTAAAATTAAACATATATAAATCAGTAAGCAGACTATTCAAAACAAGAAGGTGAAGGTTTTATACATTTAAATTAATATTTATATGAAATCTGTATTTCTATGCAAAAATAATATTTATACTAATATTTTTTTTTTTGTTAAAAATAGAAATTTTTGATAGCACAATACATGTTAGTACTAAAGTTTACTACCTCTGAACAGCGCTCCTTTTATGGTCATAGTTATGAGCAATTATTTTGAAATGCAAATTAGTCTTGTGCTTTGATAATGGCATTTCCTCATCAATGATTTCAATATCATTTTCGACTGTTCTTACTATAGGTTTTAATGCTGCAGTATTAACTGAAAACAATTCCTTCAATAGTTATCTAGAATACTTTGGTAATATATAACTAATTAAGCATTTAAAACAGTAAACTTAAGGTATAGTAGATAATAGTAGGTTTGAGAGTTATGATAAGCAGTTCACACAGTTCTGGGTTCTGTAATATGTACTTCATTCCTACTATCTTTAGTTGTGCAACTAAACAATTAAATGGGCTTGGAAACAATCGAAAATCGCACAAAAGTTGTGCAATCATTTAGTCAAAAGTGTGCATTTATTAATATTGTACCTATTGAATGAGATCCAAAAGTTGTATTGTTCATGAATCTTCTGTTATTATTGTTTTGTGTTTGTCGTCTCATGTTTTTAACACTTTTAAGAGGTTGTGATGTTACTTGTCTAGATGGATCAATAAAAACTGTAAAAAAACATATGATGTAGTAAGAAATCAGATTTCAGTACATAAACAAAAAGCAAAAAATGCTATAAGTACCTCTTTCATTCCTGGTTTTCAGAAATATATCTCGACCTTGAAAGCCCTTTCTATCCTTAACTTTAGATATTGCAAGCTAAAAGTAAAACCAATAACATATAAGAATAATGTGGATGTTTATTGATTGCCTCATGCTTATATTTGTGACCATAAATTTTCATTGAATCTATCTATACTTCTATACTAATATAATAAAGTGTAAACACACACCACTTTGTGGTGTATATATATAATTGCTGGCATCCTATGCCACATTATTATAAAAGAATTATTTAAGAAAGTATTATTCAAATATTTGAATAATTCTTTCTTTAATAAAAAGCCCTACACTTACGACATGCTTTAGGCTATTTATTTTCATGCTATTAATCTTAGGTGGTAAATGAATTGGAAAAAAACCTTCATGTGGGGAAACTACAAGCTACCAACATTAAAGAAGCAAGGTTTTGTGATAACAGTAATTTTGACATTTGCACTTGTGCTTTAGATATTCATATACTACCAAGGTGGCCAATAAACATCCTTTTAATATATTACATTCGGTGACCTAGCCTTCTTTACTGCATAACTCAGAAAACAATAATTCCAGTTTGATTCCATTTGAGGACTATTAAAAGTATTCCTAACTTTGAGTAACATTAATACAGTATTCATAAGTTAGTTCTAAAATAATTAAATCATTTTGTAAATAAATAGCTACTTACCCTTTTTTCTCTCAAGTGTTGCAATTTCAAACGAGCATCTTTTTGCCTTGCTAGTTCTGCTAACTTCTCTCTGGCATCTGTTATTTGTATTCTTTTCCTGGATATGATTTTATTACGAGCATCGACTATATCAAGCTTTTGAGCAGGCATTTGCTTTTGGAGAGGTTGTTTTTTTATTTTGCCTTTATACCTGCAATATATTTTGTTCTACATTCAATCATCCTTTATTATATATTAAAAGTATGTATAAACCGTTTTACTTAAACAGACTTTAAAATGTTTATGAAATAATACGGTATGAGTAAATACATATTTGTGAGAAAGTTACACTATCAATTAGAGTTGATTAATATAAATTTTACCTGAAAGTTTCTCTTTTATTTTTTTGTATTATATCATCCAAACTCATCTCTATGTGGGAAGTCATTGCTGGAATATACACAAACTTAAAATATGAGCGAATACTAAGATAAATGTTACATATAGATGTTTTATATAGGTAAAATACCTAGTTTTGGGATGTAGTATGAAAAGAATTTGTCAAGAATTAGAATATTGTTTAAAGGTTTACAAAAGTGTCGATTATTTAAATCTTAATGAGAAACTAGCAAGAATATAATCAAGTTTTCATTTACATAAATATAAATGATATGAAATCAAAATGGAAAGAGGCGATTTCGAGGCAGATGACAAAGAGTAAAAAGTAAAAGGTATAAAAAGATTTGAAGGAAAGTATCTTTAAAATTAGCAAACAGTAAACTTTGTAATAATGAAATATAGTCAACCTTGAATCAACTTGTTATATTCATTAACTTATTACCACTAAGTTCAGAAATATATCTCTTAATAATGTTTGCAAGTTTTAATTCTTGTGAAAATATTTTTCTTGTAATGGCAACATGGCAACCGATTGAATAAAATAAATCGTTGCCATTTATTGATTGTAGTCGATCTACAGACTACTTTTTTTTTGATCGCGATGTAATTTTTTGGTTCGTAGTTATAAAGGATAGATAGCCAATTAACGTAGAATAAGTTCAAAATACTGTATTAGAGAGTAACGTTTCATTATAAACGAAAAGCCGTTTTTATCAGGGGTGTGTTATGTCCTTAGAGTTTGTTTTTAGTGTGAAATAATGTCTAAAAAAGTTAGGAAATTTTTGCAAACTAGTAACCCAAACTTTTAGGTCGGCTGCAGGCGTCCTTCTGTCAACCAAACAGTCAACGTCAAAAAAAGATTAGATCCTTTTTGGACTGGTATTGTATGAAAATTGCATTGAACTTATTTGTAATTCAGACGCAACTCAATTTTACGTTTTTGTTGTTTAATGTGATGTATTGAATATTATGTGTTCATTAAATGCTGCTATACTTGGTTATTTGTGACTGGTGTTCAAGACTTGATTACAAAAGTAGTCCATGTTAGGATAAACGTCATTATTTTTAACTATCGTGATATTACCAATTTGAAGTTAATATAAAATCGTAAGGAAAATGGAAAGAGAAGAAGGCGAGATGAGTGATAATGAAATGGACGTTGATGATATTGAAGAGCCTGCTGTGCAAAATATGGAGAAACACACTGTGGTACAAAGTGTTTTTTTCAAATATCTAACTAAACAGGTAAGATTATACAAAGATTAGATTCACTTTTTTTTTCATTTTCAGTTATACAAGAAAGACAAGAATGGTTTAGTTGTGGAAGTACTTGAAAAAGTAGATGCTTTTAAACTTGAAGAGAGGGCAAAACGATTTGGTTTTAGTCTTACAGGCAATAGAGTTGTGACACAAGAGCAAATTGATGATCTGTACAATAATTTTGATATTAAAGAAGGCAATGAAAGGCATTTTCGTTTTGATACTTTACATTTAGCTGGAATTGATGGACTATCTACCAAAGATATATTTGAATATCTTGAAGATTATAAACCTGTGGCGATAGAGTGGATTGATAATAATTCATGTAAGTGACATTTATCACATCTTTGTTTTAGACTGGTATCAGTTTTCTTATTTCCAAGAGTAATAGTAGGGCACTGCCTAGTCGTTAGTAGTTAGTCAGTACTAACTTGGCATATGTATTGTTACAACATTCCTGCAGCATACAATAATTCCTAGCCCATAACTAGTACAACACCATTGCTGGAAATAAACAGATTTAGTAATAAAACTTAATGATTTTCAATTTTGCTTTTGTATACTACAATAGATATTTTCTTATAATGTTTTTATTTTAGGTAACATTGTTTGTCATGATCATATAGCTGTTGCTTTGGCTTTATTACTACATTCACAGGAAATAACTGATGAAGGTTTAAAAGAAATGATTAATGAAAAATCTTCTTACCACTGGCGAGAAGGTTTACCACATCCTAATGTAGACATGATATTGATGAGATTTGCAACACATAGTGATAAGAAAATGACAAAAATAAAGTATGAAAATAAACAAATTGCTCAATGCATGGATGATGGTAACATGGTTAGTAAGAATCCTTGGGGTGACTTGTGCAGGTCTTGGGGAGTGTATGATCATCAAGAAGTATTTAGCCGTAAATTACCTCAAGATTATGATGAGGAGGAAGATGATGAACCTAATGAAATAATACAAATAAAAAGTAAAAGACTTGCCAAGCGTCTTGGAAAAAGAAGTAACAAAACAGAGGACTCTGATGAAGGTTCATCAGATTCAGAATGGAAAAAGAAGTCTAAAACACCCAGAATGAGGATGCACGCTGATGACGAAGAACTTAAACGAAAAAAGCCTGTAGTTGAGCATTTTGAGGAAGAGAATACATATGCTCCACTTTCCATAGAAGTTACAAATACAAAAAGTGATTACACACCCAGACCAATATTAAGGGTATCTGAGAAATTCAGGAGTAATACTAAAACAGATGACACCCCTAGAAAGAAGAGCTTGCAATCCAGGTTAGGGGCCAAAGTTCCAGCACAGGAATCAAGTGATGGATCAACATCAGATAATTCAGATTCACATATAATGAGCAGAGTCCAAAAAGTTAATAAAATGTCTAATCCTCAAAGCTCTAGTGTATGGTCTAGACTGGAACTTAAATCAAATAGTGTAGAGGATTTAGATAGACCTAAAGATTTAAGACAAAAACTAAAATCAAGGAAACAGAAAAAACCCGACGACTTAAGAGATGTTTTAAGCAAAACCAAACCAAACAAATCAAATTTAATCATTGAAGTAGACAATAGAAATAAATGATTTTTATCAAAAACTAATACTTACATTTTTTTAATTGAATCCTGTATATTATTGTATGCTAGAGTAATATAAGAATGGTAATCAAAATTATGGTATTAATAAATTAACTCTTTCAACAAATAAAACAAGAGTTTATTAATAACATATATTTATTAAAAAAAGAATTTGTGCTGGTTTGTGTTAAGTGCTCTTATGGCTAAAATATATACCTCTTTGTGTGTTTAGTTTTTGTTAGGGTGTATAAGTAGTGTTAAATATTGTGATCTTAATAAACTTTTAAACTTTCATAAATGTATAAAGCAACATATCTTTAACTATAAATTAATTCGGTACAAATAGAGTATTTTAAATGGCTTTCACATTTATTAAAATAACTTAAACTCTTTGTAATGGACAATGATAGTATGTAAATATGGTTTAGTTTACATAAAAAATGGACACATTAAATGCAGTTAAACAAACAACCTTAAGTTCTTACAGGTTTATATGGTGGGCTATAATAACGACGTAAGCCTATGTTAGGTAAAGCTAGTAAATGTTAGCACAGTTAAGTTTAAAACTTATAAATAGAAATAGAATATTCGAGAACCTGATTCTGCAGGCGGCAGAAAAAAAATGCAATAGAAAGTAAATAGCAATAAATTGAATTGTTAAGCAACAAAAAGTAGCAAGAGTTTGAGCTCCGTTAGATTGGTTCAAACTTTCGAGACAAATAGATATACATGTGTTTTTTGTATATCACAGTAATCCCATAATATCAATACAATCTCTAAACAATAATCATGTCATAAATTATATTAAATGTTAGTAATATTTATTACATTTATTACAGACATATAAAGATGGTTGTGTTGGTGTACAATAAGATTATAGATAGATTAAATTTCGATCGTAACTTATTAAAAATGAAGACTCAATTTATTGGAAAAACATTTTATATGTTTTTCTACTTTTAAAATAAAATAATTATAAGTAGAATTGAGAAAAGGAAATCCAAAGGGCGGCCACCCTGTGCTAAAGTACACTTTTATAAAGGATTTTTTCTTATAACTCGTCTATTAAAAACTTCGTTACAGAAATTATCGTATAAACATAAAAATAAAAACTGCTTCCATTGAGTTTTTAATTTTCACTCATAGAAATTACTCTTATATTCAGCAATATGGCGTGGGCTTTTATATATTTTCTTTCTTTGAAAATGATTTGTCATGCGCCCTGCGCTAATTGGATACTATATATAAAAAAGCATCAATACTATATACCTATTTGATATGCAATTTGTAGGACTTGCATAATTTTCTTTTGTTGTTTTTCAGAACCAGTTAAACAGTAGAAGTAAAGATTTTACAATACTTATTAATATAGCAGCAGAAGACTAGATGTAAATTTGTATAGAAACTCTGAAGAAAATATAGTTATTTTAAAATGTCTCGATGATTTAATTTTACCGTTTATCTATGTTTACTACTTGATATTTTAGTATATTTTTTAGATATGTAGAATTAACCATTGTCACGGGCGATGGTTTGGCATAAAAATAAATATAAAAGCAGTTGCCTATGACCGCCTTGATGTCTGATATTAATATTCATTTTTTTATATTTACTCTATAAAAAAAGAAACCACTTATTTTACTTACATGTATCAAATACGTTAAAAGGAATGTTTTTTCTTACATGTTGAATAAAACTAATATATTTTTAGTAAATACAAAACGGTTAAGTACTACTTTGTCCAATGAAAGTTACGAGATTACGAAATATTTAATACAACGATAAATGTACGATTACTTGATCAGAAATTTAATTATAATACTTTCGATCATAAAATTTGTCTAAATAGTCAAAATGTTTTTTTTTTTTATGAATCACGAATTAATGATCAATGGAGAAAAATTCAGTCTTATTAAATACTTTCCTTACATTAATATATCTGTTTAATCTAAAAGAAAAATGTATACTTGTAATCTGTTCTTATATTTTTCAGTTGGATGAGTTATTTTGGTTTCTTTTCTTTCTCCATTTTATCTTCGTCCTTTTTCTTTGATATTAACGTGTGCTTTGCTTTCTTTAATTGTTTTTTCACCTTGTCCTTTACTTTGGTCTTCTTAGGACTAACGATAGTTTCCGTCGATTTAATGGATGAAGCATTTGAATCGCTGTTCCTTTGTGCTGAAATATACCACAGAAATATTTTAATAAAATTATTTCATCTTTAAAATATCATCAATAAAATTCCTTTTTCTAAAAGAAAAATAACTTGGTTATAATTTAATTCTTCGACTGTACAAGGTGACTCAGCAAAGAACAATGATAAAATATCATTTAGCACACTATCTCACTATAATAATATTATAAATGCAAAAGTTTATCTAAACTGATGTCATTCATCTGAATTGATGAAAGTTTGTTAGATTTTGTAGCCTAAACTGCTGAAGAAATTTCGATAAAAGTTGGTTGCTAAGATTTTTTTCTTAAATCCGCACGGGCGGAGTCGCGGTCCAATGCTGGTATTATATAACATTACACATATGTACTTTAAGTTATTTTAGATTTTATGCTAGTAAAAAAAAAGATTTAGTCTGTTGTAACCTCTCTTGGTGGCGATAGAGGCTGCGATGGCGAGGTCCTCCTGGCGCTCGCGGCGGCGCTCCGCCTCTATCTGCTGCACCAGCTCGTCGCGCAGCCGCACCATCTCCACCAGCCGCGACACCAGCTCCTCCTCGCGCGCCTGCGCACAACACCACCACGAATTATACATCTGATTATGCGCACAACACACCACCACCACGGAATAATACAACTGATTATGCACACAACACCACCACGGAATAATACATCTGATTATGCGCACAAAACCACCACCACGGAATAATACATCTGATTATGCGCACAAAACCACCACCACCACGGAATAATACATCTGTTTATGCGCACAACACCACCACCACAGAATAATACATCTGATTATGCGCACAAAACCACCACCACCACGGAATAATACATCTGTTTATGTGCACAACACCACCACCACAGAATAATACATCTGATTATACTGCTTGTTAACATTCACAAACAATATTCAAACCTGGTTTAGGATCGCTAAAATCGATTACTTACAACTTAACTTATGCAGATAAATTATCTTTTTACTAGTGTTTACATATATTCATGGTCAAGCTAAATAATAAATAAAACAGAAGTAAGAAGTAAGAAATGATATGCAACAGTTTTATCTTACCTTATCTGAATCGATGCGATTAACGGCCGGCCTCGATTGTATGATTCTGATTTCGTGTTCGATGTCCGCTTGTTCTTGCTCTAATCTTTGTTGCCGGCGGCTGGGAGCAATAAATTTTAAAATCCAATTTACATTAAGGATCAGATGTTATATTCAAAAGTTTTTGCTTAATTTATTTTAGAAATCGATAAATGAACAGTAAAGATAACATACACTGTTTCATAAATAAGCTATACCAACAATTTAATAAGTGGCTTCACCCTTACATAGTAATTTGTACTTACATGTACATAAGCTCTGTCTGCCTTCTAAACAGATCGTTCTTTTCATTGACGAGCTCACACAGCTGTATCACCAGGTCTTCGATTTCCTCCTGCGGCACCGCCACCGCTTCGTCACCTGAAAGTATACAACACAATATCTTGTAACACAAATATTTGATTTAGAAACGTCATTAAAATCATGTAAGGTATTGCTCATAGCAATAAGGCCCCCCCTGCGCAATTCTTGTTTTACCTTTAAGTGTTTTGTAACTTTTGTGCAAAAAAATAAATAAATAATACCCAATTGTCAATTGACCGACACCAAGAAAGAAAAGACAGAAGTGCGAGAAAAAATAAAAACAGCAAACATAAACACACTCTTCTGTTTTGCACGAAATACAAAAAAGTGGAAAAAATAAATGTTTGCTGTAAATAGTTTATAATAAAGGTGCAGTGCGCAGTAATTACCCTCACACTTGTCACGTATCATCTGCTCGATGAGCACGCCCTGCCGCTCCAGGCCCAGCTGCTGCGTCTCCAGCAGGTCCAGCTGCACCTGCAGCTCCTCGCCCGACAGCTGCAGCCGCACCGCGCGCCGCGCCGGCAGCGGCAGCCCCGGCGCCGGCCCCTTCGCCCGCCGGCACGCGCCCGTCAACTCTGCCGGGGAAATTAGTAGTCACTAAGTGAACGAACGAAAGATAAATACAATCTCACGCTCGTAACACAGAAAATGGATTTTTCACAACCCTCACTCCGCTGTGCCCCCACGTGGGTACAGATGAGACTATAAAGTTCCATCCGTCTCACCCTTTGCGACGAGGGGACGGTTGGAACTTATTTTATTTCTCAACGGGTCCATCTGTCACCTTATTGGTGATAGTGGGACGGATGAAAATTTGTATACTCGTCTTTCCCTACGTGGGGACAGAGCGGGGTGACGGCTGGGAATAATCGCAGTAATTACGCAGATATAAAAATGTAACTTAAGAAAGACCATTTCAGTTCAGATCTGGACCTGCAAGAGCTTGAAGCAAACGACATGTGACGTTGGCGATCTCTCGTGTCGTAGGCTAAAACCCACTTTAGGTTGCAGCGCCAGAGCAGTAAGTTAATTTTGAACATACGTTTGGTCAAAGTAACTCTGTAAAATTAGGTAAAAGAGGTAATCACCATCTGAAGCAGCGCTACGTGTACCAGACGTGTCGACACCTTTCTCCATTGACTCAGCTCCACACCCTGAGAGAGTAGAAAGACTGTCTGGTGGTGTGGGCGCATGACGTTTCTTTTTCGATTTAGGAGTTATAGTACCAATTGATTTCTGAAAAAAGAAACAGATTGGAAACTCTATTCTAGTATATATTTTTAAACGGTTAAAACGCTTTTATTAATAAAAGGGATTTACTGTAAAGGACAATTAAAATGCATAAATACTGGCAGTGCCTTCATTACCTTGTGCATTCGCGCTTTAAAACTAATATCTGACATCATATGTGTGATCACTAATATTTATTGTTCCCATTATTCTGTGGCGATTTGCACACATATCTTTCTATAGATAACTGAAATATGCTTTGTAAGATGATCAGGTGCGGATCAAACGTGACTTACGATTTCATAATTTTAACGAGGCGGTAATTGTGTTAACAATAAATGCTATAGCATTGTGTCCTTGTTACCAAAAAGTTATTGTTATGCATTGTCAACTTCAAGGTTATTGTCAGAATGTACGATTACGTCGGGCGTCATCAGCGGTCAGACATAACATTGTATAGAATTTACCTCTGCAATTTAAACCTGATACAATTACAACATAAAAACGTTGGGTAACAAAGCGTGCTTACAAATTATAGGCAGTCCATTTAGACATAAACGTTTCCGTTATTAAATGCTTTTAGAATACACAAACGATACAAGTAATATCAAACGTTCTATAACATACTAGCTCTCAGCACTAGTACTTGAGTTTAGTTTGTGGAAAAATATAACGGTATACTTTATTTCGACGTCATTGTATTCTAAATATTTTATCGAATAATTATAATATAAATAGCATATAATAAAAAAACCCAAATGTTTTGCGATTGCTTTGTAATCAAGCGTTGATTTGTGCAATTTATTTTTAAAATAAATCAATAGTTTCGAGAAGTTTGATAACGGTTCCTACAGACAGCATGTAGCGTCAAGCGGAATTATACATGTTTGTACATTCTGTATGTAAAATTAATAAATGTATGAAATTGGTCGTCTAGTCACGCACTAACATAACAGTTGTGGAATCTTTAATGTAAGCGTCGAAGCAACAAAACTTGATACTTTAACGAAATAAAAAACGTAGTTAAACTTTGCTTAGATGAGTAGAATATTGTTCTAAGGAATATAATAAAAAAAAAATTACATCTTCAAAATGGTTATTTTAAAAATTCAGAACTAACGGATTAGAGAGATAAAAAAAATGCACATGTATGTATAGACAAGACATCTGTTATCACATAGATATATGTACACATAGATTCTTAACTATTTTTTCGCGCTTATCAAAGTATTTGAATTAAAAATATCTATATATCTTTCATTTAGATCGGAAATTGCTATAAGTTGATAATTATGAAATTCTTGACATTTCTTTAAATAAACTTGGTTATTCCAAATTAAATATGATTGTTAAACTTACTTGATCGGAATAAACTGTAGAAGTGTGGGAGCTTAGTGATGATATACTGGCAACATCGTCCATAGAGACGGACATGGAGTTCCTATCAGGCTTTTGTGCTTCGCTAATTGAGATGACGGGCGGAGGCGCGGGTGCTTTCGGCTTTTTACGTCGCGGAGTACTTGATGGTAGATTAGGAGTACTCGTCGCCATTGATGATTTATACAAATTGGAACTGTAATCATTTTTGGATATTTTTATATGTCTCAACCTATGGCTGTAACCTACATCAGGATCGTGATATTTTTTTAATCATAATAATTCTATAAACTCGATCTGTGGTGTTATGTAAACAATTTGTTTATGCAGTTATTTCGATGTATTCGATCTTCACAAATTTTGTACTTATTTGCTTCATAATTGATTTGATAGCGGGTATCGATAAAGAATTGTCATTAAATGTAAAGATAACATCTTTTAAACAAATAGTTTTAATCATGGCTAATTAATATTTTCACGTATTAGGTGATGTCCTTGCGTCATCAAATATTGCACATTTTATTGCTGGGTAAATGCCCGAAACGATCAACTTCTTATATTAAAAACGCAGTTATCAATAATAGCTATTACAACACTCCAATTTATATTATTAAAAAATGATAAGTTTAAATTTAGAAAAAAAGACAAACGATTGGCGGGAATACCTTTAATAAAAAAGAGAAAAAAACTTACCTTCTTTCACATGCCTCTTCATCAGACGATGGTTCTTCTCCATCCGACCAAAAGGGGTTCGAGGGGTTTTGTGCTACAACAAGTCTTTTTCTGTAAAAAAAACAAAAATTTTAAAACATATTCACATTTTTAAGTTCACATGGATACAAAAAACTTAATAACAAGACATATGATAAAGAGTATAGAAAAAAATTATAAAATGTGGTTAGCATACTAACATTGGTGTTTGTAAATGTTTGTCTTGTGTATTTTGTGTTATTTGGACTGAGGGTACTTCATCTTCGTCCTCACTACTTCCGAAAGGGTTCGTACTAACTTTCTTAGGTTCTTCTTTAGGGATTACCTGGAAATATTAGCATTCATTATTTTATTCCTTTGGGATAAACTTTTTGTTTTAAATGTAATCTTGATTTATACCTTCTCATCATCATCGTCAGAAAATGGGTTTAAGTAATCTGGATATTCTTGATTTTTTACGATAGTCTTATTTGGTACTTCTTTTTTTATTCCATTTGTACATTTATCTGTTGATGTGTTATGTTTTTTTCGTCTTGGTGGTACACTTATACTTTTCTGAGAATCGTCTTTACTGGAATTGTTAGTTTCTAGCGTCGTAGATGTATTAGAACTAGATATGTTTAGATTAGATTTAGCAAGTCTGTTATCATCTGTTATATTACTTTCTTCCTTAGGTTCTTCTAGTTTTCTACTTATTTTGTCATCATAAATAGAAGATTTATCATCAATTGTGAATTTTATTTCATCATGTTTGGGTTTGTTTTCTAAAATTTCACTGCTATTTGAGGCTGTATCAGTTTTAAAATTGTCTTCTGCCAGTTGTGTTTGTAAAAAATTGAATTTATTTACATTGCTTTTGTATAGATTATCAGGCACTTTTTTATAGAAACTTTCATTTAAACTAATTACATCATCATTCAAATTATTTGATTTGTTGATTTCCATATTATCAACTTTAGAAGAAAAACTTTGTTCTTTACTACTATTTTCAACATCTAAGGAGTTATCTACTTTAGGCTTATCGTTAGTGGAATCTTTTAAACTAATATTTGCTAATTTATGATCAATACTTGTGTCTTTTTCTACATTCTTTTCGAACATGTTTATTTTATCTGTAAAACGGAAATTGACAAAAAATAAGTAATAAAAACACTGGGAAACTTATCTTTTCCAAAATGAATGCCTAAATCATATAAATATATAAAAGACAAAATCGGAAATGTCGATGATTAATGTAGTAATTGTAAAACATAACTAGAATCTTATTAAGTTTAAATAGTTTAGTAATGATTGAGGAATATCTTCTTGTAATAATTCATAATTTCTCAAATTATGCACAGTTTTAATATTTTTCATTATTAAATAACCTTTTTTTATTAAAAAAAGTATAAAAAACTATATACATGTAGAGTATAAATGGTATAAAAATTTAATCAAACAAAATGATGCAATAAAATGTGCAAACAGACACATGCACTGATTTTTTTTCTAATGATTGTTATATGTAGTGTGTCAATGAGCATGGAGAATCAATTTTTCATCACATTTCTAGGATTGTTACCTTACAAAATGATATAGGAAATGTTTAACACATATAAACATAAATGAAAAAACAAACATAAGATGCTGTTTATAGAAGTTCTTAGTGACATGCAATTTGAGACACAAGATAGTATTAAATGCTCACCTAATATAGACTGTGGCCTGGTCTTATGTCTTTGACTTACTTGCTCCTCATTACATGTATCAGTTTTTGAATCACTTGCATCTCCACTATATGCTAGCATTCCCATCTGGTCATTATTATTAAAAATCTTTGTTGAATTGAAATTCTTTTCATTCTTGCAAGAGTCACAACAAAACTCAGATGTATCATCTACATGATAATTCTTTGGATTCAAGTGGCCAGAACACTTTGAACATCGGAAACATCTTCTGTGGTAAAGTTTATGATCCACCATAAGTCTTTGTGCCAAATAGACAGGCAATCCACATGCAGCACATTTGTCAAGACCTGTCTTTCCAAATCTTATAGGAGTCTACAAGAGTGATTACAGAGTAAAAGAATCTAGGATATAGAATAGAGTAAAAACTTGCACATACACAAAAGAATAGTGCCAAATAAAGCAGACACAAAAAGAAACATTCTTTATGCATTAGACAATCATACATATACTTACAACTGGATGCTTAGACGTAGGAGATGAAGCTTTTGGCTCACTTTCAGTGGCTTTAGTATTTACTGCAAAAGAAATTTATGATATTGCTAATTTTTGAACTGGTTAGATACAAAAAAGGGCACTTTTAAATAAAAAATATTTATCAATCCACCTAAACACTAATTTAATTAATTGTTTACTAGTTTTCACAAAACAAAGATTAAAATTATAAGGCTTTTTAGTAATGAGTCACTCACCTGTGTGACTAAGACGCTGGTAAAACTGAGACAAATATGTTAATACTGACAATCTGTCTGGGACATCATTTTCAACCATATCCTCAGGATCCAATAAAGCAGGAATACCTAAATGTTTTTCTGCTATGCTAAATGCTAGCTGATTATTTTCATATATATTCTCTGGTTTAAGCTTGGAAAGGTCGCTAAAAGAAGTTCGCAAATAAATTATAAAGTATTCAAATGTAGAATACAAATAAGACTTAATAATAATATTTACATGAGATCCGGTCGAAAATGATGAACTAATGCACAAAATGCCATTCCATTCCTCCAAGATGTTGTCATATTATCAATCTGTATATTAGGACAATCTTTTACCAATCGTTTGCACCATAATTCTAAAGCCTTAGTTCCTTTTACTTCCGACATTATTGTTTATTTTGTATCACAGGTTTGTAATTTTACACATCTCATAAGCGAATATGAAAGGTTCCTTTAAAATGCCTTCTGTTAAATCTCTTTACATTCATACTGCTCTGAACTGCAACTAATTCTTGATAACTCTAAAAGCAACAGAAAGAACCGTACGAATCACTTAAAGAAATTATATTTATTGAGAATAATTATACTATGTCAAAATAACAAAATAAGATTGCTGATGGCAAAATTAGTTGGCAAGGACAACAGATAACGAAAAATTGCAAAAATGACAACTGTCGTTTCGTCTAGAAATTCCGATTTTTTTTATCAAATTATTTAAGTAAAATTATTAATTATTATATAAATAAATCGGTAAATAAAAAATAAGTAAGATATGGGTTCTTATCCCGCCGTTTACCAATGTGATTTTTGATTTTTCGATTTTTCGTATGTACATAATTTACCCGACATATCGGCGAAGAAATTCAAAGATATGTGTGAAGTCAACCAAACCGCACTTGGCTAGCGTGGTTGCCCATGGCCTAGTCACCCCTTATTAGGGTTGGCTCCGAGCCCCTCGGTGGGGACATATAGTGAGCTGGTGGTGGTGGTGGTGATATAAATAAATTAATTATTTGAGCTTCTTCTTTTTAACCCTTAATCTCATCCACCGCATACAACAGATGTATTTGCAAGATTTGATAACAGAATTCGTAGGAGGCAGCACTGAGGAACGTTGATTTTGATACGATCCTAGATTTTAAAATTATTAGTTACTTATTATTACTATTATACAATGAGTGATTATAGTAGCATTTGTTAACGCAATTTTTATTAAAATAGAGCGCTGGTTAATACAGAAGGTCATATCGATTCATTCTTTTAAATAAAAATCTATAGCATTCTAGGGTAGATGATAGAATTACATGAATTTCGTTACAGTTTCACTTGGGGGAGGGTTGCAATGTATTAGCTTTTAAACTTAATATTAGAAAATATTGATAAAAGTTTCACCAGCGTTTACTTATTTCTAGTTTAAATTGAAATAGAGAGAAACAAAACAAGTTCACATTTTTGTTGAATGATATTTATTAACATTAATGTTTAATATTTTTGTATCACAAATTCCGATAGAGTTTAATCAAATATTGGCCGACAAATTCCAAATATATCAGGCCTATATCCAGCAGGACATTGGTTGGGAACCGTTATTATGTTTCTGTTCACATTTGCTTCATCCAGCAATTGAAGTATTTCTTCTGCATCCAAATCCAGTTGTCGTTTTTGGCGATATAATAATTGTGATTTAATAGTTTCGATAATTTGTTCCAAAATCTTGCTTTCACTGAAATAAAATACTACAACACTCAGTTCCTAAAGCTTACTTTTTATCTTGTTACAAGCTTCCGTCAAGACTTTGTGTGCGTGGAATAAGGAAAAAAAAAGTTATAGCCTATGTGTTCTAGACCACATCGAGATCCGTTCAGCCGTTTAGGCTACAAACTGGAACTAACATCCACCAATCTAAACTTTCGTATTTACAATAATAATAAGATTGTATCGTAGTTTTAATAAATTAATATAAAGCTTTCTGTTATCGACGAAAACAAGTGATAGATAAACGATTTAAATACTAGCTACTTGAAGAGTTCAATGAAGTCACAATTATTTATAACAATTCTTTGTTCTAAGCTGCTCTTACTTAGATTGTTCGACAGCTTGAGGAGTAGGGCTGGTTGGTGCAAACATCCAAACGTCACGACATACGCCGTTGATTAACTGTTGACCCGGAGGACAGTTCGTAGGCACCGTGATCATATTAAGTGGAGCGTTTTCTAGACGTTGTCCCCTATTAATATGAAATAAATTTTATTAATTTCACTATGGCACGAATTCGGTTTATAGTAAAGCATGATTCTTATTTAGTATCCTATATTAAAATAATTTATGTTAAAGTTGAACACTTTTTCAGACGAATATAAGAGCCCGTTTATTTTAATTTTAATAGAAATTTCAAAATCCAATAATTTCTTATTGGAGAAAGTAGATTACACTAAAATTGTTGACGATTTTTTGTCACAACGATAACACCATTATCAATTTTGCTGTTGCATTTTCCGTGTCTTTATGTCGTTAAAGCTTAAATTTCTTTAACTTGTGTAAAACTGACAATATCACATACATGATCTTTGTTTGGATGACTTACGAGTATTCAATATTTGATGGGATTGGGCTTGTAGCTCTGTATCGCCAGATGTCGCGACAAACGCCGTTAATCAGCTCCTGACCCGGGGGGCAGTTCGTAGGCACCGTGATCATGTTCCGTGGCCCATTTTGTTCACTATACTGTGGACCCTGTTGACTAAAGATCTATATGAAAAATTTATCTCTACAACTTAGTTTTTAATTAAGACATATAAGTACTCTTTGCCAGATAAAAAAAGGGTTACTTTTTGCAAAAATATGATAGAACGGAAAGAGGCTGACTGGCACATTTTCCGAAGTTATGGTTTCGTACATTAGTTAGCTATGATTACTACTACTCTACCAGTAGTAACTACTGATTATGATTTGAAACCTCTGAATGGATCTGAAACCTGGATGTCTTTACCGTTTCGTTACGATCAAGTTTTTGAAAAATAATAACACCAACATTAATTTCGTCTGAAAATTTCGCGAGTACTATCGCTATGTCAATGATCTGTTATCAAGATTTCTTATGGCGTGAAAAATCACTCAAAGTAAAGTGTTTCGCCACTATTCTGATAATGTCTCAATATTATACGCAGTTAAAATAAAGTGACAATACATGGCAACTTACTTTTCAACGTCCATTGGCATGTTAAGTAAATCATCGTGAGACCAAATATCTCTACACTCTCCGTTGATGAGTTGTTGACCCTTTGGACAGTTTGCTGGTACCGTCACCATATTCCATGGTACATAATTATCTTTAGGCCGACCACTGATCGCAGACACAATAGCTAATAATATCATGTATTTAATCATTTCCACTTATTTTTTCAGCTATCACAATAATTAGAAACGTCGGTAAATGTTGCTAATTGATTATTAAGTACTTCTGATATTCCAGTGCTCTGTTTATATCAAGTTGATAATTCAATTACGTATCAGATACGGTATCTGGTACGTATAACTGTATAACGACAAACAATATATGTAGCAAAGAAAACCCGACAATCTTAAGTAGGATTAAAGTCGTGATTTTCAGATTTTTGGAATTAAAACAATTGGAGTTTGACTATTAGTTTTCATTCGGAAATTCGAGTCACAGGTTTTTAAGAAGAAAGTTATATGTTTTATACAATATTGCGCAATGGAAATCCAAGGTATTTCATAAAGACTACAAAACATTTTTGGAATTGTAAATTTTAATAACAAACAATAAATGGACGTTCTAAAGACAACTGACTGCTGCTATTTCTATAGACTGATAATATTCAGTAAGATTTTTAATTTTCAGATGGATTCTTGTTGGCAGGGTAAAATTCATTTCCGCCTCTGCTACCTTTTTCCCCCTTGTAGGTTTTCCTTGCAATGTAAAATCCCCATGTGTTGTCATTTACGTAATTACTCTTACATATAAGGTTCTTATGATTAAGATACAGTCTAACTACATAATTGTTGAATAGTGATTTAAAATAATTAGTCGATTGGCGTGTCTTTTTCAAACTGCTATTGCCCTCTATAAAACGCTTAAATAATTTGATAGTAAAGTATTATCTTACCATTTGACACTGCGTATATTTTCCCAGGCGCAAATAAAGATATCTCAGTACATAGGTAACAGGAGCAATTTGCCAATTGTCCAGTCAATTGTTAATAAATTGCTTGAATGGTGATAAGTTGTCATGAGTTCGTTTGAATTTGTACTCTCATCCCTAAGAATAAGATATATAAATATATGGCATAGCATTGAACGAGTTGAATAGCATTGTTTGTGCCATACAGGAGCAAATCATACTTCCTTTGAGATGACGAATATGCTCAAGTGTCAGTTTAAACCCTACCATTGTTTCATTCAGAATTTTCTATTCTGAAATACCATTTTTATAGTTCTAAAAGACAGACATACCTTGTATTTATTTTTCAATTATCATAAGGTACTTATTATCGCAGTTTTTGTTTGAAATTAACATAGCTAATTTGCTAGTGCTTAATTTCGATTTTTTCAAATGCATTACAAAATTCCTAAAATAAGAAGTTAGATGCTTACGCTGTAATAAATATTTTCGTTTCGTTGCATTGTGATTTAACACCGTATGCGGATTATTCAACATCGTAGTAGCGAGTTTTATTGATTCAACATTCATGTTTGTTTGTATCCGTCTCACTCACAGGTTGCCTCGCTCGCTGCGTGCTACGTGCCCCCCTATTACATCGTTTGTAATACCAGGGTGGGCGATCGATCATTAAGCACTTTTCTAACAATTGGACGTTCTAGAAGCATATTGTGTTTAGCGCTCGCTGCGGTAGCCGCATTCATTTGTTTGTGTAACTTGTACTCAGTTTTTCATTCCATACTTTGTGTGTGTAAAAGAACTAAACCATAATGAAGAACATTATTATTTTTGTGTTATTGTTATTTGCAACTATTAACATCGACGCTAGAAAAATGTCTTCTAGAGGTCGGAGTTCATCGAAAAGCACTTCGAGTAGATCGAGGTCAAACGCACATCCGTCGCCGGCTTCGCTAAGTTACCCTCAACCTTCAGTCGCTAAGCCTGCATTATTCGGATGGCAAGAAAAACCATCACGAACTGCTCAGAAGCCTTCTAATAAACAAAGCCACTCTTATCCGTCGAGTCGCACCGGCCTTTCGGGGAGTAATGCACCTAAACAACCACCTCCTTATCAAGAAAGTATACAAAGAAGCAACGCACCTGCTCCAGTTTTACAAGCACCACAAAGAAATCCGGCGCAGTCACAGGGTCAAAATGGTCACTCGTATCCCAATTCAAATGGATTATCAGGTAATTCGAAACCTGGAGGGTTATCCGGTGCTGGTGCTGGTGCCGGCTACCCTCCGCAGCAAAGTGCCGGTGGTACTTCCGGAATTGGATATCCTCAGCATGGGACAGGCTATTCCGGATCTAATGGGGTACCACCTCCTTACAGTCCAGCAAATGTTAATCGGCCATATAACGCCGGCAATCAAGCTAATAATTTTGGAAATGGATATCAACATCCACAAGGACCTCCACCTCCTTATTCCAGTTTCCCACAGAGTTATGGCGGATTTGGTGGTCATGGGTATAATCCTGGTTATGGTCAACAAATGCCAGGTTACTTTGGTAACTATGCAAATAATGGAAAAAGTTTCGGTGGCATGAGTAAAACAGGTTCTGCACTCACGGGCGTTGGTATTGCAGGCGCTGGAGTCGGTACTATACTAACCGGTTTAGCATTATGGAATCTAGCTAGATCAACTGGTCATCATCATCATACTGTTATTTATGACAACAGAGGTCAACCAGTAGCCGTAGCTCCTGGTAACAGTACGGAACCTGTAGTAGATCCCATATTGGGCGATTTAGTTAACTGTACTCTTACGATAAGTAATGAGAACGCCACTGAAGTTTTGGCCATTCCTTGTGCAATAGCTACTTCATTCACACCGGATGCCGATATAAAAGATGATGACATAAACAAAAACACCAGTGATAACACGAAATGTACTGTTACCGTGGTTACCAAAGCTGGCAAAGAATTCATGACTACTATACCTTGTTCTATTTTACTAAGTACTGCCGCAAGTAACAATGTGACTGAACCACCAATACAAGTCAATAATACCGAGGTTGATGCCGGAACATCAAAACCAATAGAAAATATTCTTGTAAGTCAACCAGAAGCTCTAACACTTACTGAAACAGTTGAATATAATGCTACTTTAAATTGTACCCCGGAAATTGGTGACGTCAGAGATCCTATTAATCCTTGCCTTAGTGCGACAAGCAATTTAACTGTAATTCCGCTCTCTACAACTGACAAATCAAAAGAAATAAACCATTAATAAAGTAAAGATTATTGTAAGATACATATTTAGCGAATCGCTTTTAAAAGTGGTTTAAAACAATGTAATTTTGCTCAGTAATGCTATGCTACACTATGTAAATATCAATAAATATTATCTATAATAATAAAAGAGATTTTTTGGTCTTTAAATTGTATTGTAAACATATATTAAAAATGAAATAAGGTCTAACATATAGACAAGTTAACCTGGTCAAATAATTATTTCATTATCATCATCATCATCATCATCACTATAAGTCCCCACTGAGTAGCATATTAAGGAAGTATTAGAGGCAATTATAGGCTTATAGTACATTATTGTTTTATTTCATCAAATGTACAACTTTAATTAAAAGGAAATATATAAAAAAAAGTCTTCGTCATATTGCGGAAAAAAATTCTATGCGCAGTGCGCACGTTAGAAAGTGATGTAATAAAAACGCCAATTGGTTGAGCTATAACATGAATGAAATGAATTCACCGGAAGTATTTTGGACCTAACGCCATTTTATTATAAATTGTTGTTATATAATTGTTATTTACATTCATATAGCTAAGCTTTCATTTGAAATATTTTTGACGTAAAAATAAGGAACCGGTAGCAATGTTCTGGCAATACCAACTTTTGTCATCATCTGTTTATTATTTGTCTTTGATTTTTATAATTCAAAATATTTACGTGATGGTTTGAATTTATTTAATTTAATTTGTCTATAGGTGCTTTTCATTTAAATAACTTGTAAAAATATGTATTTAGTATAACATGGTGTCCTTATATACTTCGTTCTTGTAATAATAACAGTTTGTTAATTCCTTATTTACACTACAAAGGAAACTGCATATTTTGTAAACCAGTTTTTAATATTAAGGTCAATGGTATCAAAGATACCCAATATTTCACCGCAGAAACACAGTATAGTTTACAAACAAAGCTTGTAAAATATAAAAAAAAGCAAGATGTCTGATCCTACTATTCAAACTTTCTGCTGTCATCATACTGGGAGTAAAGAGGATTTGGCAATTAGAATCATGGATGAATTTAACACTGAATCTTACAATATTGTGTGCTTAGTATCTTCTACAATAGGTATATTAGGGTCGATTTATCAGGTAATTTTAATTGTTACTTTATATGTCTATTTCTTATAGCATAAAAGTAATTTCATAAACATATATTTTAGATTTTTCCATGTAAAACATCCAGTCATTTAGATGGGATTCGAAATATGACAACATCTCGAGCAAGAAATATCATAATTTGGCTAGCTGTTGCTGATTTGATGGCATCATTGGGTAATTAAAAAATACTTTACTTTACATGTTAAATAAGTTATGATGGGTGGTACACAATACTATGTTACTTTCACACTATTAATAGTACTTTATTAATGCTTTGCCACTATATTCAAGTTCAAAAAATAATCTTTTGCAATGTAATTTAATATAATTTATTTTAGCTAAGCTAACATAATTGTTAATAAGTTTAACATGTGTTGCTATGAGTCCAGTTAAATAGAATTAAATTTTAATTTCAGGAGTTCTTGTGCGCTCATCACTTTGGTTAAGATATAAAAGTATTATGCCTTTACCTGATGATGAAATAAGTGTCTTATTCTGCAGCATTACTTCTGTAAGTTTTAAATTTTTATCTCATATACATGTTGATGGGTAAAAGGCTATTTATTTTAAGTGCCATTAAGTTCTATGTTCAGGAGACTCATTTAGTTTTCATTTTTAGAAAAAAAAAAACAAAAGGAAATCCTGAAAATAATTTCAATTGAAAGATTTTTAGGCCTGTTCTAGATTAAAATTACTATAATTCTTCATACTTAATTCAATCCATTGGCTATTAATAACTGCTGATTTTTTGGCGCTCCATACGGGGCTACTTAAAAACGACACCTACATTTTTATTGTTTCAAGTGCCACAAAAGTTCTCTGATCTGACACAGACTAATTCACTGAATCTGAATATATATATAAGTCAATATCGCCTAAAATGCTGGTTGAAACAAATAGCCTTTCACCTGTCGATATACTACCACAAAATATACTTGAAAGGTGATTTTGGTTTGTAGGCATGGACTCAATACTTTTATACAGCAACTTGGTTTTGGACTCTATTTTATGCTATTGATACATTACGAACAATCAAAGGGCGGGATTCTCATCCAACACTTTATCATTCTATTGCTTGGGGTGTGCCTGCAGCAACTACTGGTATTGGTCTATCTATTCTCTACATTCCTAATGCAATGTAAGTAGTTTTTCTAAACACATTTAAATTGTGTAGAAGGCCAGAATAGAAATCTGTCTTATACTTATACTGTTCTAGGTGATGGTTGGAATAATTAAAAAATAAAACAAATACAATGGATGTGTTTTTCACAATTAATATAAATCTTTTATAAGTGTTTGTCTGTTTATAGGTACATCAAAATGTTTTGTAGCTTTTAGTAAGTCATTAGTAGTAATTTTTCTCAGATGAATGTACTAAATGTTATTTTAACTTTTTCAGGTGTCATAATTTAAAAACAGTTACAAGTGCTTTTTTAAGAATTCTACCAAATTACTGTGCAACTTACGTTCCTATAGCAATGGTCATGATAGTCAACCCTGTATTATACATATTGGCTGGTAAAGAAGTGGAGATGACTGTGGCACTACCACTTGCTCAGGTATACTCATGTAATTTAATCATTATAATGTGTTTCGCTAAGTTCTTGGAAACAGAGTCAACTAAATGTCAATTAATAAACAGGAAATTGTCTCAGACATTTATAATATATTATGAATACAAGATTAATGCATTAGATTTATCTGAGTGCAGAATATTATCTTTATATTATTTCAGTTTACAAGCAAAGAGCGAAGGGTTGTAGACACTTTAAAATTGAAGTTTTTTCTTATCAATGCTGTCTTTTATGTGTGCTGGTTACCTAACCTTGTGAATGGTATAATGATATGGACAATGTGGTTTAATATGCCAGTGAAAATAATCATCTCTGTCTGGTATATAATGGTAAGCAAATTTATTGGTGAACTCTTGGATTTAAATATTAATGTTTTTATTAAAACATTATTATTCTACAGGCTTTGATGAATCCAATGCAAGCTTTGCTTAATGCTTTGGTTTACCGAAGGTGGAATACAAATGGTAAAAAATACAGACCTACATTTTCATCCATACATAAAGAATTAAATTTGCCTGATGAACTATCACCTCTCTTGGGTTCAGAACCTCCTCGAATGCAACTATCACCTTTACCACCCGGAATAAATAATTATGCTACTATGTAATTGAAAGTGATTATTTTAAAATGATTCTTATATATTAAGGGATTTCTTAAGACTGCGTATTTGATATGTTTACAATTATAATATTTATGATGCAATAATGGAGCACTTAACCATTTTTAGTGAGTAATAATATTATGCAAATACTGATGTGTGTTTACTGAAATATTTATGATATGTTAATACATCAATTTTTATAATAGTGTGAATAATGATTTTTTATTTATGTTCTACCAGTTAAAATATTGTGGTATATTATTATTTTTTAATTACAACTATTTTCATAAGCATATTAAGATAAGCAATCTGCCTTCACATATTCAACAGTTCAGTCAATCATTTTGGTTGAAAAAACCAAAAATTTTAATATAATTTTTCTGCACCATATAAGATATGACAATAAGTTCCTTTGCAGTGATGCATGTTACCAATACTTTTGGTGGATTAATAATGATTATACACCAATTTTGTATTTGAATAATTTAGATTTCTATTGTGCAATAAACTTATTTAGGCCCAGTAGGCAAAAGATAAACTAAAGATACATCTTTTCATGGCTAAGTGTCATTTTGTTAGTCTTTAAGTTTTCTGATAGAATCAATTGTAATAGCAGACTGCTGTAACCAGGCCATTTATATTTATAGCACTATATTGTTTTTGTTAAATATACATTTTATTGTTTCATCATTTTTATGTATTATTGTTTTATAAAAATAACATAAGTGAAATCTTTTGACAGTAAAGGTAATTAAAAAATATCATTTGTTTATTTTATACCAATATTGCTCTTAAACTCCTACATATTTTTCTGCTAGTTTTAATTTATTTTTATATAATTTACTACTCTTTAGACACAGACTGGATGTTGATATAGTCAAACAAGCAAACTTGTTTTCTGTATATTTTATTAACTAAGAAAACTATAGTGGTAATCCAGCTAAAACCAAAAAATCGCGTGGGTCAAATGAAGAGGTAATATTGCGGAGCTTAATGTTTGTGTGACATTTTGTTAAACAAATAAATTATATCTTATTGTAATCCAGCATACATTCGAGAAAATCACTAAATAATTGAGTATTTAATATAATTTTATATACAATTTACAAAGAATTTTAACAAGTTTATATCACATTTAGACATCATGGTCATTTTCAGGTGGTGCCATTGTTAAATCGGTAATATCCTTAACTATCATATGTGCGACTTGCCACGCCATTTCCTCTTCAACTCCTGAATTGGTTGGTACAAAACGACTTACCATTTTCTTTAAGACAGATTTCTGTTTCTTATCTGGATCTGGTTCAAATTTAGATTCAAATCTACCAAGACTGTTGATTCTTCCAAGAATTAATCCATCATGCTTCTTCCTTTGCCACAATAAATCAGCGTTATACAATTGATTTGAATCTATCGTCATATCAGGTACAGAGTGATTACGTTTTTTCCTGTAGAAAGGGTCACCCATAGCAAGAAGAGTATTTTGAGTACTTATACTAAATTCACTACTACAATCTGAATGAGATTTAAATTTTGAATTCCATAAATGATCTACTGAATTAATCATTTCAGAAAGATAATTATAATATAACTCTGAGCCAAGAAACAGTTTTCCGTAATTGGTTAATGTTTTAAATATTATTTTATAAGGTAAATCAAAGCATGTGGGCAGTGGGCCACCTTCTCTGCATATATCACTTTCAACTTGTAATCTAATTTCTGTAGGGAAGCCAATGGGATTTGTTGCTTGTAATGAAAAATATTTGTCATAGAGGACTATTGCATCTCCTTGTGTCTGGTCAATGTTGGCTGAATTATTATTAATTAAATTCTCTCTGAAGTGCATCACAGCCATTATGAATTCCAAAAATATAGTGCATGATTCTTGTTCGAGATATTCAGTAAAATAAAATAATATAGTCTCATTATACAATATATCTTGAAGACTAATTGAACCAGCAGTCAATATATCTATTTGGGCCTTAATATAATAAGGACTGATTAAAAAATCATCAATATAAGTGTTTTGTATTATCAAGAACAAAGTGTCCTGTACTGGCTTAAAACAGTCTTTTTTAATCATTCCTCCAGGTTGACATATGTTAGATATAACACATTTCCTAACATTATCAGGAAGATCTAATTTATGCGGGGCCTCAAGTGCTATATATTTTTTAAACAATTTAACTGCTTCTTCTGTTACATTAATTAATTTTCCACATGTTATACATGTTTCCAAAGTATCTTCAGATTCGTAACAATAACCGAGTGAATTTTTACTTATGTCAGATTTATAATGGCTTAAACTACTAGTACTTCTTGATAAACTAACTGTTTGTGACATCATTTCCTTATAATCGTTTGGAAGTTTATTGCATTCACATTCACAATTATTCATATTTTCAATATTATTTTCATTTTCTGCTTCACTGAGTCCTTTATGGATATTGCTCTCAAATTTATCTAACTCTAACCAACATTTAATCAATTCGAGTTTTCCGATTGCTTCCATAAATGAAATAAAATGTTTTATGGCTTTTTTTTCAGTCAGTATGTCATGTATATTCAAAGATAATTTCGATTTTTTCTCGAATACATTTGCTAAATCTGTAATTGGACAATATAACAGTTTAGTAATATTGAAAGAATAATAAGTGACTTACAGTTTAGTAAATGTTACCTTCTACATTGACTCCTATTTCTAAGTTTATAGGAGTTTTGAGTTGCACATTATTCGAGTCCTTTTGCTCTGGAGGTCGCACAGGGCATCCAGTTTTACCTTTTGCTGAAAATACAATGTAATGATTGTAATTGGTGTTCACGTCAAACTTTAATTAAAATAAGTTATTTGCCTTACCTGCGCTTTTCCAGAACTTAATCATTTTGAGCCTTATAAGTCTCTACGATTATTCGAGAGCTATAAGTAACAGAAGAAATGAGACATGTTAGTTTTCGCAACAGCTTCGATAAACGTAAACAATAACAAAATGGATACGGTTTTATTTTGTAAATATGAAATCCAGAATTACCAGCTACTGCATCACTCAATTTTAGACAGTGACAGATGACAGATAAATTCCGTTTTTTAATTTCCAATCATTGGTGATAATTGTAAGAAAAGTTACCGCTTTAATCAGTTGCATTTTTTATTTCATTTTAGCGTCCTTCGAAAATAATAAAGCATGTTAATTCCTGCTTTGTGTGTGTTTATTTATGTTTAATGTGTTATTATTTCGTCTCAGACGACAAAAAGCGCCCTGCAAAAGTGCAACCAAGCCAAGCGAAGTTCCGAAAAGTAAACATGGTTAAGAAAATATTTATTACATTACAATAAAACTACCTTAAATTCGTAATTACAGGCAATTCTTCGTATCGTTATTGCAAATCTTTAATACTAGTTTCTTTTTAGTAATACAGAATCCTCGTATATATCTTAAGAATATCCTCAATATCCGGAAACATGTTTCGTACGATAAGGGTATAATGTAAACCATTCTCGGATCAAAATTTGCGCCTAGAGGCATAGTTCAGGCAGTTGCTAGTATATAATGCAGTATACAGATCTTGGGTTTCTTTCGTGTTTTTGCAATTTGATAAAGGATCATGTTTTGAATTTCCTATCATATGTTTATACAAAGAAGTTGTTCGTTACAGCTTTAGGCTAATAATCATTTCATTATCATGCAAATTATTACAGTGCAACTTTACCGTGCTTTAACGGGACCGTTAACAGAAATTTGTAAATTATCAAGCATTTTAGCAAGTTTCTATTTGAAATATCATAGTTAAAAATACATACTATCTATAAAATAAAATAGAGGCTAAATTAAAATATAATTAGTGATAAAGACAGTAAATCAATTAAAGAGCCTATACTTTACCCAAAGGCATGATGCGCACATAGTTGGATATTAAAATAGAATTTTGGAGCCTCAGCTAGACCAGGGCCTGGATGTACTTATCTCAAACTATTGGTATGCCAATTTAATATTAGTGTTGACAAAGATTTTTTTGTTTATTAAAAATGTATTAAGGGCTGAATAGAATATAAGAGGTTTAAATACGTAAAGTAAAAATCATTTACGATCCTTACGCAACGTGAGGACGCAGTGCACTAACGGAGGCTATCGACCTTCCCACGGTTACTTGAAATAACTGTTAAGTTGTTGGAAATAACTTGGTATCTTGAAGCGCGCAGAGCGTCCGCGATGCCGCGGCCAGTCCGCCTCATTCGCCAGACTCGATTACAACGAACATCAACCCGTTACATTTCCGCTAGTCCGTGTATACTAACATTTTTACACAAAAATGAGTGCGAAATATACTTTTCTTATATACTACCTTTTATTGGCTTGTCATGTTAAATCAATTTCATACGATCAGCGGCAAACAGGCGAATTTAATGTTCAAGTTGATGTTAAGGATGTACAAATCATAGCTCTTATGAAAGGCGGCAAAGAGGAATATGTGGTGAGTTCTTTTAATAATTATCCTGGTATTTTATAATTTACTTTTTATAATGTTAGTATAGATTTAAAACTTTTGTTTCAATACTTAACAGTTCGTAAATAAAACAAACGTGTTTTTGCGGTTTAAGTATTGCGCGCTGCGATTCATTTAATGGTAGCTAAATGACTCTGGGTGTGTATATCACCAGACTTTAGTTTTAAACTTTAGAGGTTTACGAAGTAATTAATTTAAAACAATAACTGTATTCTTATTGGTTTTTCTGTATTGTAAATTCAAAATGTAATTTTGGTTTTAACTCCTTTTTACTACTTTTCATTTCTTCGGTTCCCAACACATACGAGTGAAGTTATGAATTTTTTTGATTTGTTCTTATTATACAGCTTAAAACACTACAACCTACCATTATACAAAGTAATAAAAATCAGTAAATTAGTCCTAACGGTACATAAAATTTATAATAATGCAAAATTTTGTAGCTCCAGATTCCATTTCTAAGTTTGATATAAGTTGTTAAAATTTACATGCAGATAAATATCGACCTAATGCAACATCTTTTCATTACAGGACTACGACTATGCTTATGATTATTCTGAAATGACAATAAAGCCGCAAAATCGAACGACACCAAAACCGACGACAACCAACGGTACAAGCGCGACAACAGATTCAATACGAGATAAAACTACAATAGCCACAACGGTGCTCGTCGAACGCACGACTTCACCGTCCATCTCGGAGACATCGAGTACAATCGCAGATGTAACAATCATAAAAACTACAGTTGAGATTAACAATGTAACAGAAAGCGCGGTAACAACGCACAAAAAGAACGTGACTACAACATCCGAATCTACAAATACTGGCTGTAAGAAAGGATTCGTTTTGAATCAAAAAGGGGAATGTGAACTAAAATTACAGGGAACTGGAAATGCGTAAGTTCTGAAATAGACTAACATAACAATATGTTAAAAGTAATTTAATCTAGTCAAGGCTGTGTAAAGGTTTGTCTTCATACCAATAACTATGATGCATATCCTTTTCCAATGATGTTATTTTGTTTCTAATCAGATTGTAACGCTTGGCTTTTGTAGTAATTTTTGTTAAATAAACACAATATTTGCAGATTGCTTAAGCTTGTAAAGCTTTCACAAAAGCTGAAGTTAAGAAGAGAAAATAAAAGTAAGACAGAAGATGATTAACAGAAGATGCCATAAGAAATAAAATCCATACTTTACAAGTTGTTAGTCAGAAGACTAAAATAAAGGTTAATTATGTCAAAGACTGCTAATAAATTTGGAACTTAGATTTTTTGTTATTACTTTTACTAAAGGATCTTAAATGAAAGGTATTGTGTATAAAAAAAGAGGTAATAAGTACAAAATTTCAGCATGTGGCTCTTTAATAACATATTTGTGTGCATTTACAATTTTGTGCATCAATAAATGTTTGGAATCATTATTTGGTGTGGGACGGGCACTAGTAAACATTCACATTAAAGTTATTTTGTACTATTTGGTGTGTTATTACTATAATTTGCAGGTAAAATATTTTGCAAACACTTTTAAATAGCAAGACTGAAGACATACAAAAATAGTATAGGTATTGCTGGTAACTTTAACGGTACAAGAAAAAACATAGTAATTATTATAAAAGTAAGAATCTAATATTTTATTTTGTTGAATTAAGGATATAAAGTGAGTTTAATGCATTCTGTAGGTTTTTAACAGTATAGACTCCAGACTGTGCTGGCTACCAAAATAAAGATACTTGTAACATATCACAAAACTATTCATTGTTCAGATTATTATTTTTATACATCTTTCTAAGAAGTAAGAAAAACAATAACTGTTAAATTCTAATAACATAAGGCACCAGCAATGAGATATGAGAGTGCAAATTATGACTGATTGAGCTAACAACACACACAATAATGTCCTAACTTTGAGAAAAGATTATAATTTACACAAACAAAACAACAACGGAATAAAAGCAACCATAGTAATAAACACTGGTATTAGAACAGATGTTTCCATAGCATATGGGTCAGGTTGTTTGGGGCCACTGGCTCTCCGTGACTTAGTACTTATTTCCTCAACCTCTTCTTTTACATCTTCAGTGTCATTTTCTGGCCACTCTAATGGAGGAAGTTTAGGAACTTCATCTATGCTCCCTCTCATAACATAAAGGGCATTGATTTTTGGGTTATCCCTGTAGCCCTTTATGAATTCTACTTTTATTTTACCCCCTCTTATGTCTGATTCTTCTTCATTATAATAAAGTTTACCATTTCGAATGGTATATGGTACATATTCATCATGAGCCACACCACGTCCCACCTTGTCAAATATGTCTAAGTCAGCCACAATCGTATGGTCTCCATTTAACACGACATCAAATACTTTCATATTAGGTGCGTTGAAGTACACCTCACTAAACTTTAACACTAACACATAATCCCCATCTGCTTTTGCAGGTATATCATAGCCAAAAGTACTATGATGATACCTTTCCGTTTGGTATAGAGTTTCATCTTTTGGGTTAACTCGACGGATCATAACGAGCTGTTTTCCATAATCTGAGGCAGTGCCAACTCTTCCTTGTAGTGGATCTTTTTCGTAATATATACCATGAATATCTGTGTGGGCTGGTCCACCGGCATTTATGGCGTAAATTATTTCACCTACACCAGTTGCTCTCTTTAAAAAAAATAGGTAAATAATACCTAATATTAATATTCGCGTCATCGTTTTGGAAGACTTAATATTCAAAACTTCTAAACTTTTATAAATAGCACTTTATTAACTCTTTGTCCAGTCATATATCGTACTTAACCAGCTTTAGTAACCGGTAAGCCATTGATGCTATTTTCGCTTTTATCTACAAATAGAAAGTGTAAGAATTTGGAATGAAACTTCGATTCGAACACAAACGTGTAAAAAAAGCGAAACGATTTGTAATTTTGTGTCAAAGCATAGATTACAAAACCTGACGAATCAGAGCTAACAGATTATGAAGAATATCGTTTTGCAGAAATAGGATATTTCATTTCATCAACGTTGCCACCTTATAGTCTTTAGGAGTATATTCAAAAATGCATATTAGCTAGGAAATGGTAATTGTTTTTTGGTTTAAAATTACTTGTTTACTTTGTACCTACGTATATACCTATATACTCTTTGAGTCATTCGAGTTTTCCCATATCGATTTTATGGTAAAAATATCGATATATCGAAACGGTTCGTTTAAGTCAATTATTTAATACACTATGCATCTATTCAACTATTGATCCCAAAAAATTAACACATAAATATATTCGTAAAAATAAACGGTACAGATTTTGGACTACCTGTAATAATATTGTCGTCTAAGTGAGGGCTAGATTAGTTATTGCTAATGTATAATATCTTAGTTTAATATTTTCGCTCGCTCGAAATCGCTATTAATGCAGCCTTGTTCTACTTACTTAAGTGCTTTATTTGAAAATTACTATTCAGATTTGATAATGTTCTACCTACATCTCCTTTATTTTTAAATTTTAACTTACAATTATTCCGAGGTTTAAGCAGCTACATGTAATAATTTCATTTTATATCGTTTAATAAAGCTTCATTAAGAGTTTGTGCTTTGTTTGACTCATGCTTATCCTTAACTTTACGGTTGTTTTTATTGCTGTGTAGCGCATTTTATGATTTTGGTCTGAAGATTACTTGTGTATTTTCCTTTGGTCAGTTTGTGTAAGATTTGATGAGATACTTACATTATTCTAGAATCAATTTTTTTTTTTAAATAATAGTTCTCAAACGTACAACTTTAAATAATTAAAAAAAAAATAGTAAGAGTCATCTTTTAAATTTACTTTAGTGGCATTAAACTATTCCTGCATTTGCCTTTAATCTCGAGACGAAATAACGAAAGAAAACTTGAATGAACAACAACGCGGTAAATAAGTTATACTTCATCCCAAATATTCTGGAGATCGTTTTGTTAAGGACAGTATTAGCTTGGTGCAGCGGACGATGATATTACGATTACGTCGCAAGTTTCACGGAAATATTTGTGATAGACCTCTGGTATTCGTACGTTCATATTATATGTCGGCGCAAAATTTTCATAACATAAAGATGTTTGCTTTATTTCTGTATCTTAGCGCCGTGATTTTGTAAGATTTTGTGTTATGTATCGAGATACAAAAGTCATATTTGTTGGTTTCCACTTCCCAAGAAAGGATTTTTATACCAAGCGACAGTTTCTGACGATCTGTACAAAAGCTTTGATCGCTTTGTTTGTATTACGCTTTATGTGTCAGAAGCATTTTAAACAAATAAAGCCAAAGAGTCGTAGAGACATTGTTGCGATTTTAGTAAAATACAGACTTTGTGTCATTGTATTCAAAGTATCTTTATTTTAAGATGCCTTTTAATATTTATTTCCAATCGAGCTTGCACTACTGATTGTAGTGACCACATAAGACGAGCGAAACAAAAATATAAAATAGATAAACGTAAAAAAATACTACGAATAAGACCATTTTTATGGTAGCTACCCCCTACCGCTTTGAGCAGATGACCTAGACCTAGCCTAGATCACCTTGTCGACCCTCATGCCACAATAGTTGCCTAACAAAATGTACGAAAAATGACAATTCGCTAATATACAAATAGTAAGCAAGTATTTTACAAATATCGAAATGATTAACTACACTGAATTAACTAATTAAGAACAATGCTTTCGTGATTTATTATCTGTTTTATGAATACTGGCACATCTAAATAATTGCATGTTTTCTTTTTCTGTGTAAGGGTATTGAGAAAATGGTTCAATCTTTTGTACATTAAAATAATTTACAATACTGCGCATAACAGTTTTCACGAGGCCGTTTAAATAACGCCTTTTCTTTTTTCTGTTAGAATCAACAGATGTCCACTGTTGAAGAAGTAGTAATGTTTCTCTATGAGCTTGACAAATTGTTTCAGTACGTGGACTGGCGTGCCCATCTCTCATGATGAAAAGGTTTTGAGAACCACAGCTTTGATCCGTATGACTTATTTTTTGAACGCTTGTACTTTTACTAGCCGTAGGAGGGGTGCAACGGCATTGAAGTGACTTTTCTTTTTTAATTGGGGGCACTTTACCAACTTGAACATGTTGAGAGCGAAAATTTTGGTTTCGAATTGCCATTAAATTACTTTCAAAATCGGACGTGTCAATGGCGGTCTCCTTTCGCCTTGGTGTTGGTAAAGGAACAGTAGTTTCGGTTGGTTTTTTCTCAACATTATCACCAGGGGGTTGACTTATATCGATTTTAAATAGTCGCCTTTGAATTACCTCCAGTAACTCATTAGAGGGATCATTCACAAGATGCGCTACACCCCAGAGATATCCAGACATAATAATTTTAATGTCATAAAATAACAATCTTCAAGAAATCTTATATATTTTTTTCTGATAATTAAATTAATTCGGATTTCTTGATCAATTTCTACACTGTATAAATTAATTTTGAAATATGTCACATGTCAAGAATAAAGATTATTTTACCGTAATAAAATATGTTTTTAATAAATCATCGACCTGCTCTTTGACTTATTTTGAGGTCTTGATTTGGAAATTCAAGGAAAAATGATTCATTTCGTAACTTTAAGTTAAACTGTTTATTTTATCTTTTAAAAATCCAGACACCAATATCGATCCTTACTTGGAACTGAAACTTCAAGTGAATTTTAATTCGTTTTATACATTTAGCGAGACTTACAAATGGGTCAGCTTAAAGTGATCGATTTGAGTTGAACTTGAATTCCCCGAAGTACGATTAGATTTGGAAATCTGTTTTATTGGAGTTTCTCGAGCTAATAAAACCGTTTGCTGACAATAGATAGCATTTTGTGTAATTTCTAACTGAATAACGTCTATCACATAATCATTTTAAGTACTTTAATAACAGTATTACTTTAATGAGATGAATTGCGTAACAATATTAATATTAAAAGTACACTAAGAGATTATTCCTCGACCACATTTTTTTCTCACTATTTATACAACATGTCTTAATGTAGAGTTTTACAGCCGCGATATTTGTATGTCTTTGTTTCGATAGATGTTACCCCTGTCATTCTCTTACGGCAGTAGAATTCTCCGGTTATAAGCACAGCATTCCACAACGGAGAAAATATCAAGACTTTCTCAAAAATTTATATTAATATTATACTTGCCGTGAAACAAGAAATGTACGTTTCATTTTCTTTTATTTGTGCAAGGCTTGTATAGTTGTAGGAAAGTTATTACTGTTTACGATGTATTGTATATGCTAGTAAACTAATTTTATGTTTAAATCTTAAGGTTTAAAGTATGCATTAAAATAAAAAAGGCAGAAAGATTTTATAATAATTTGTTTGTTTCCTGCTACAGAGTGAGTGATTATTGACATTCTTTTGCCTACATTAATTTAATCATTTTTTTATCTTACATAAATATATTATATGTTTCGAACTAGGTACCTTCTATATCATTCGCTACGTGTTATTCATTTCGTTTCCGAGTTTAAGGAGGATTAAAGATCTTAGTGGCAAATTAAGCTCTGAACAGATACGTCACTCGCATGCAGCTATAGAAACTCCTAATTGCTAAGAGCTTAAGCATCTTATATTTCAAATTACAAGGTTTTATTACTAAAAGTATGAATAGTAATTGTAACACACTTCAATGCTATAGACCTTTCGAAAGTACAGTATCATCGTTTATAAACACCTAAAGAATATATGGCAAGGCGAAACGCAAGTCTAGTATCTAAATGATATTACTTTCTAATAAACAATAAAAACTAGTTAATGTTGTAAACATAAATAAATAAAAGTAAAAACAAAAAGGATCTGGTGGAAACCAATTTATTTTGTAATTAAATCACAATCCTCAATTGCCCGAGTTCTATCGAAAGCTTCTCGATTTATAGCCTCATATATTTTCTTGTTATATACAAGAGGCATTTACAAATATTATTATTGAAAAAAAAAAATGTTTCAGTTAATTTAATAAGCTGTCGACAGTGTCAGTTAAATAAATTGCATGTCAACGGTAACAAGATCGTTTTTTAGAATGTAGCAAATAAGCGAATATCGTTTAGGGAAAAATGTGTTACATGTTTTTTTTCTGTTAAATTAATGTGTTCGCTCTAGACTCACAGTTTAGGGACTGTGCCGCATATTGAAAATTTTGTTTGGTGAATTTTATTGTAATCGATGGTCTTTTAGTTCTCGCTCTAGCTTAAGAAGAGAAGTTACAGTTTACTTTCCACTCATTGACTAAGGTTTTGCTTTTTTGGTCGAAATAAAATAAGATGAAAACTTTTCGGGCATACTCCATGACTAAAGTAAATCTTAAGGTTTTCTAGAGTTTTTTAGAAAATAAAGTCTATTATTATTTACTGCGTAACATACATATGAATAATGATAATATTGTACAGAATAAAGTAACTTAAGCCTCATGCTGAAATTAACTTTTAATTTGGTCCCTAATTAATTTTATGTTAATCTTCATATAACGTATTTTTGGAAAGGCTTCTATTGTCTGGTATACCGTAAATCATTTGCATTATACTTTATGCATAACTTCAATAGACTTAATTTAATTAATGCTCATATGACATCTAAAACATGCTAATTTATATAATTTATGGTTGATAGTCAATTAGTAAGGACTAGCATTTATTGTGCAGTGGAAGTTGAAGAGATAAATTACTTAGCTTGGTCTCCAACTAAGTTATACTTATGAGGAATTTATAGTGGATTTGGCGATTCGCCATTGTGGATACCACGTGATGGATGGATGTCTCCAAGGCAGTGTCCGCGAAGTTGTACGAAGGGACAAGAAAATATTTAAAAATAAAATGACTTGTCAAAGGCCAGAGAAAGTTAAAAATATAGCTTTACTCCCAGTAGAAAATAAATCGATTTCCCAATGTGTTTTAAGTTGACGTAATAAATCACGTGGCAAAGTTCTAACTGAAACCTTGAATTAGTCTACTTCGTGTACGTTATTGACTTTTTATTGCTTCATTTTCCATTGGAGGTCGCAAAAATTTATTTTTATAGAAAAATATTTATTAGCATTAAGTGTAGCTTATATAAAAATATGAAGTTGAGAATTATGAACTGATATTAGGCATTCAACAAAAGTTAAGAAATAATAGCTAAGACAATATAGCCTTACAATTAAGTGATAGAATTTGCTTTTACTATTAAAGTTGTGAGAACTGATGGAAAGACATTTTACAATACATTACTAGATTTTATATTTTTTTTTATAATATTAGGTGGCAAACTAGCAAGCGGCCACCTGAATCTACAGAAATGGTAAGCGACCGCTGCTCATAGACATCCGCAATTACAGATGCGTTGCCTGCCCTTAATTGACGTAGGAGGAGACGCACATAAAGAGGACATTTCCCCTTCTATGCGTCTCTTCCACCGTATACCCACTTTTCCTTCCCATCCTTTCCTCTTAAGAAAAAGGTGGAAAGGGAAAGGGATTAAAATTAGGCCTCCGGCACCACACTCATCACACGAAACGCGGAATTGAAGAAAAAAAAGTCGTTTTAAAATGAATCTCGTATCTGTAATGTTCTTTATAATGTACTCGTACAATTCATATTTGCACGAATTTATAAGGATATAATTTATGCATGAACACGGAACTCCCGCACTTTATGCTCACCTGTTACTAATATCTCTGTGCGCTGGCAATTTTACACATTCGTAACACGGTGGCCAGTTCGTAATTACCTTTTTAATCCTTTGACCTATATTTATAAAGTAAATAACCTGTCAGAATTAAAAAAGCTATCAAAGCAAGGCCTCGGATTTCTTAAGCATAATTAAAATAGGTAACGTTACAAGCTTTTATATCAATTTCGAATGTTTTAAAAAACGAAGATTTTAAGATTTAAAAATCTATTTGGTACTTTTTATACTCTCAATACTTTTTACAATAAGTAATATAATCCCACTAAGCCTAGTTACTTAATATAATGAAGAAGACAATATTTTACAGTGGAAATATATTATTAAACTGAAATCTCGACCGACCCGACATTGCTGTTTGGACTGAATATTTTATGAACTAAATATTGCTCTTGGCTCTGGACAAACAGAGACCTTAGAAAATATGTTGCTGAATAATTAAAATCTACTCAATCAATAGTAGCACCAGAATAGTATTAGTTAATCGAATTAGAGCTAAGGCTAGGTATTTACGAAATGGATTGTCGGGTGGTATGATCGAAGCTACGTGACAGTCAAAATGGCGGGTGTACCATAGCAAATTAAATTATACCACTTACTAAAAATGTACCTAAAATGTACTATTTAGTACGTCGCTCAAAAAAAGAGTACCTTCTCTAGAACGAAATTATAATGAAAAATACTTACACACGCCATATTGACGTTACTATGGCGGGTGTACTCATCATCATCATCATCATCTCCTTATCCTACTCCCGTAGGGTCGGCGCAACAGGTTTTTGTCCTCCACATAACTCTATCATACGTCATCTCAGTCATCACTCCCTTTTTGATCATGTCACCTTTTACACAATCCATCCATCTCTTTCTAGGTCTACCTCTACCGATGTACCCTTCCACACTCATAACTAACGTTCTCCTTGTAACATGCGATTCATCCCTCCTCATAACATGCCCATACCATGCTAACCTTTTACTCCTAACCTTCTCTACTATGGGGGCTACTCTCAAACTTCCTCTAATATACTCATTTCGTATCTTATCCATTCGTGTTACCCCACACATCCATCTTAAGGTACTACTGTACTATTTTTTTTTATTTTAACAATTACTTATAACATATGATTTTACCAAATAAAATAAAATGTACTTGAAAAGTACACCCTGTGTTTGTTTTACATTTTTGGATACAAACCTACATCTCATTTCATCACTGCAAGCCGTTACTAATAACCAAATTTTTTGTTGATTGTGAAGATATGTCCAAACAAAATTACAAACTGATTATTTAAATCATATTTTTTATGTATAAGGTAGGAAGCATATTTATGAAAACAAATACAGTACCCTAATTGAAGCCATTACATTGCAAAAAATAACAATTTTTGTATAAAATAGTTAGACTTTTCCTTGTTATTATGTCCTGTCCAATATCACTTCTATCAATAATCCGATAGATTTGTTATCGTGCTAACAAAATAAATATACTTCTACAACAGAAACCGGTCAAGGCCAACGCCAGTATAAAATGTATTAAAAAAATAAATGTTCAAATAACTTTCTTTTCACATTGAACGATGAATGATTCATTTTTAACATTCAACTGCTTCTGCTAGTCGATCATTTTAAATGAAAAATGAGATAGAAAAAAAAAATAAGTTCAAAATCTTTTTAAACTTACTTCTTACTTCTTACTACGTAATATTAATTCGTATTAATACGTAAAAATAATATCGTAATATTATAAATGTGAAAGTTTAGATGGATGGATGGATAGATGTTTGTTTGAGTTTATAGGCTAAACGGCTGAACGGATCTCGATGAAATTTGGCATAGACGTAGAGGATAGTCTGGAAGAACACAAAGGCTCACTCTTGTTTTTTGTACTTCCACGCGAACGGAGTCGCGGGCGTAAGCTGGTATTAAAAATTATAAGATTTCGACATCTGTACTGAATGAACTTTTTTAACATGAATTCTATTGTTTACTTCATAAATGGGTAAAAGCTCCAAATGCTCGTCAGTAACAAAAAAACACCCTTGACATTATTTAATGAAACAAACGTACGAAGTCTTTTTCCGTTCATTTAAGAAGATAAATTTGTACGTTCTTCATGGTTGTCGAAGCGATGTTACTTGTGGAATAAGATAAATTAAAGGTATAAATAAAGTACGTATTCATTGAACTGTTAAGGCGGAAATTCTTTTTCCCTTGAGCTTCTTAAGATATTGTCACATATCTCATTTCGTGAGATTATCTTGCTTACACATTTTGAGTCTTATTTAAATTAAACAAAAAATACTTTGAGGTATTAAAGGAAAATTCGATTATCGAGTGTACCTACAACTTCAAATACGTTTTGTGACTGTACATAATTTAAATATAATTTTAAAAAGGTAAAAGGAATGAAATAGGTTTTATGCTGCGAGATATTTTATTCTCATTTGATAATGTCGTACACATAGAAAACAACATAGGTAGTTAGGTATTGCGTCCGGTTCATATTGCAAAAGGTTTGTAGACATAACACTAGTTATCAGCTTTCTTGATATTGTTGAAAGATTTTAAAAAAAGTTCCAAATAAAATTGATTGCTAGCGAAGTAGAATTTATAGAAGCGAGAGCAGTAGTAAGGCATTCTATTCGTATGTAAAGCCATAAAGTTGTTTATAGTGGAAGCTTTTGATGGAGGCTTTTTGTAGTAGTCGTTAATGTACACATTACACTATGTTACGAACAAAGTAACGATCCCGAAGTTATTATGTACAGTTTATGTTTTGTATAAAAAGAAAGTTAAACAAGAATTTGTTTCGCGCTTAAACATATTATTTATAAATTGTTAAACAGGAAGTATTATTTGGACTCGGTATTTCTCTATTTAATTAGTATTTCAAATCGAGTTTACTCAACATACACTCAATTATTGCAATAACACCAGCTTAAATAACAAAGCAAATGATTTTCACTGAGTGGAACTATAATATCAAATATAATTTAGTAACCGTAAACACTTACGTCAAACGGGGAATAATTAACAATGTTGCCGTAAACTAGGATACATGAGACGTTTGTTTGCTTTAACGTCAAAACTATTGTGAGTTGAATTAACTAAACAGGTCATGAAACGTATGAATTTGTTTTTACAGGATACTTAGTTATGTCGGATAAAATGATTTATATATTTATGAGAAACATCAAATAGCGGCAAAAACTTCTAATAACCAATTCTAATATATTTTTGATCGAAGTTATATAGTTATATGAATGTTATGTAGTTAGTTTATGATCATCTTCATGACAACATAGATATGTTAAAATCAATAAAATTCTGCGAACAAAACATGTATGTATATAAAATCAAGTTTAAAAATATCTTTGTAGAGTGAACGTGCTTTGTGGTAATTACAGAGGGACCTGTGTTTACTGGTAGGGTATTAAAACGTGTTGCACGTAAGTGCTTTGTTTATTTACGATTTTACTATTTTTATTACAATTTAAGTGTAGCGTTCTTAGTGAGTTTTATATCCAACGAGCTGTTCCCATGCGGCTTCATCCGCATGAAATTATAAAAACTTTATTTTATGGTTTACAATGCACAAATGACAACAAGGGCCTTTGACTTTGGATAACAATTACCGATACCATGGCCATCTTTTAGTAGTTTTCTTAGTTTTAGTCACTTTTTCCAAATTATTTACTCCTTAAGTTTAATAGCGTGAAATATATAGCCTAAAGCATGTCGTAAGTGTAGGGCTTTTTATTAAGAGAAGAAATATTCAAAAAGATACTGTGTTGACATCCTACGTAACTAAGTAGTTTGCGTTTACGCTTAATAAAGCGTAAACGTAAAGCGTAAACGTAATTTAATAAGAATAGTGTAGATATAGATAGATTGTGGTACATACTTCCTAGTCATACCAACATGAATCTAATTTATCGTCAAAAATGTGCCTATAACAAAAAAAAATCTTAATTATATCATATTAGAGTACTTACAGAAAAAATTCATCATCATCATCTGAGGTGCAGCCGCGGATGGGCCTAGGCCTGGTCCAATAAGTTTCTCCATGTTTGTCTATTTTGGGCCTTTTCCTTCCAGTCCCTGACGCCGATATTCTTAAGATCGCGTTCGAAAAAAAGATATCGGTAAGCCGATTTTTCCGACTGGATATTGGACCCGAGGATTTACGTGTTCGGAATATGTTACTGTTACCGAAAAATTAATATATTGAAGTATTATGGTGAGATTTAATGATGATTGTCTTCGTGATATAATTGTTATATCACATGTATTAATCCCACGTTTATATAATTTATTTCATATGGTCAGTGATCCGAAGAAATCGCTACATATTTCAAATACTTACTTTTGAATCATTTAACTTGTCTGTGTATTTTGTACATTCTTTAAAATTACCAGTTTTTTGATGAATATTTTTATATGTGTAAAATGAAATTTTAAAACTGAATGCCGTTAGAAAAAAAATTGTTATTGCATTATATCTGAAGTCATTTGATAAAAGTACCTATATAAAATAATTTGTTAAATATTTGCTGGAGATGGCTCTTGTTTATTTGAAGTTTATATCAGTGACGTTTGAACGAAGAAAAATCTACGAAACAATTCACACAAGCTCTTACATTTTTTTATGGGTGACTATGCCACTCTCTTGTTCTCCCTTGGCGCTGTTAGAGACAAAGACCTTATTTAGTCATTTTTACATTATTTAACGTGTTCTATACCAAGTTCTTATTTAAAATTGCAGCGATAGAGATGGTATATTTACACTGTTTTTTTTTTTATAAAAATAAGGTTGCGCAAACAAGGCTGATTTAAAAATTATCTTCCGTCTCCATAGAAAACTATCTCCACAAGCTATTTTAATGTATTATTTGTAAGCCTGTCTTCGTTATTTTTTCTAAAACATTGTTTATTTGTGTTATCACCGAAATACATAATTATTAGAAAGAAAACTCACTGACATCAACTTTATTTCGTTTAAATATTCAATTACAATAGACACATACTTATAAAATAGTTTTGTTGCTTACAACTATGTTACAATGATCGACATAAAAATATAGACACCAAATACTACGAGTATTAAAACTAAATATTATTACATGAAATACCAGTGTTTCTTAAAAAAACATACTTTCATAAATAATCAATTGTGTGCAATTTGTTAAAAAAATATAAACAAAAAATGTTACATTTTAGACATATCTTCTAGATAATAATATAGGTACTAGCTTTCGCCCGCGACTCTGTCCGCGAGGAATTAAGACAACGAGTGATTTACCTATGTGTTCAAATACAAATACAAATATGTTCTCCCGGACTATCCTCTACAGCTATACAAAATATCATCGAAATACATTCAGCCTTTTCGACTACAAACTCTTACAAACATCCGTCGATCTAAACTTTCGCATTTGTAATATTAGTATGACTAGATTATTAGTATTTTGAATATTACATATTTTTATTGAATATAATCTTACAAATAAAGGTTAATAATACGGCTAATACCCATTTTTTAAATATTATTATTAATTAGTTAAGTTTTTTTAAGTAATTAATAAATAAATATAGAAGTACATAGATTGCAGTATAATTTTACACAAAAGTAAGGTATTATAACCCGAATATCTCATGATCGATGAACAACCCCTTTTAGGAGCTCCTGTGGCTTTCATCATATAAGACATAATTTAATTACAAAATTTACATATAATGTTCAGAAAAATGTTTTACATATGTAAAGTAAGAACACAAATACATTGAATATTTTTATTTATCAAAGACCGAAATAAATTCACTTTATACCACAGTTAGGAAATATAGTAATTGAGCAATCATGCACCATAATGAGAATTTAATGGTACGAATTAGGGCAAAATTAGTATTCTCTACAAGATATTGTTTCTAAATTACCACGTTCTAATAGATTTCATTAAAAGTAAATAAAACACGTGACTCGGAGATCTATGGACCTTAACTTCTTTAGAATCGTTGCAAGATACGCATTACATGCTTATTCCATTTCCTACATTGATTTAGTTTGCCATAGGAGAGCCGTACTGGAAGATTGCGGCGAGAGAGAAGTGGTTGGAGGGCAGCTTGCGGTTAGGGATAGAGTAAGGGCGTATCAGCTGCCTGCACTCGGCATCTGTGGGCAGCCGGTAACGGGCCAGCAATCTTAGCCTACTGTCGCGGCTATAGAATATGTAATCAAAGTTATTCCAATTAGTACGGTAGAAAGTGGTGACTTCGCGTCTGCCATTTTTTTTTCTATGTTCATAAACGGAACGAAGGCTGAGCGGATGTTCTAGTTCGCTGACAAAAGGTAAGGATTCGTCCCACGGGTTCGCAGGACCCTCCAGTTCCGGCGGCTGGTCTTGATTAATATTTTGTATTTCGACTCCTCTTAATCTAGTTTTGCTGACGGAAACGTGACCTCTGGTGAGGAACTTGATCACAGGCGTCTCGTGTGCTGAGTTTATGTCACCAGATAGTATTATTGGATGGTATCCGAGTTGGCAACCATTGTTAGCAAAGCGTTCCAAATGCGCGAGGAAAAGTTGTAGCTGGGCGAGGCGCACGTGTTCGCTCCCGACGTAATGGAAAAGCCGCGTGGTGGCAACGACAAGAGGCGAGGAGGGAGCGCGCGCATCGAGCGGGACCAGCCGCACAGCCAGCCCAACTTCGTCTCGATTCAAAATACCATAACTTGTCTGACAAAATTGCACAAGAATGTGATCTTCCATTTGAAAAACTGATTTCTTAAAATAAATGGCGCATCCATCATCATAGACTCCAGTTCTTTTCTTAAATACACCAGTATAGCCTACTTCTTCAAACTGCGAAAAGAAGCTCTCACGATAAGATGCATGAACTTCTTGGAGGCAGAGTATGTCAGGATCTAACCTGATGATCTGATCAAATAAACGTTTTGATCTTACATCCCACTGGAGATTTACCATTGAACAGTTTTGAAAAAGGTATAGTTGGGATTCCAGTAAATGTTGCGAAAGAATATTGTAAGAAACTACTTTAAACGTAAAACTTTTTTGAATATCACGAATATCCCATTTACCTATTCGTTCCCATGTTCTAAATTTGCGTTTACTTTTTTTCTTCTCAATGTTCAACGGCACCTGTTCTTTCTGAATGCCTTCCATTATTACTATTTAATTAATCAAATCACAGTATAGTCGTATATTTCTTTTTCTTGATATAGATTACAAATTTAATTTCAATTCAAACTAAACACAATTTGTATCTTTCACTACTAAAAGAAACATGTAATAGTAACAAAAAATCAATTTATACACCTCTTATGTTTTGACGTAGACACTAGCGTCCTCTATCGGGTCGTGCACTGTATATTGTAAATGTCAACTTTCATCTTGTACTGAAATTCACTTCTGAATCGCTTAACCTCAAAGAGATCGCGATATTCTAAGCAGAAACAGGCTTACTTCACAATAAACAATGTACGTCGTAATTATAACAAAAACATTGCCAGGATGTACTGATTGAGACTGAGAAACATAGCTGAGTATGTAAGCGGCTCCGTATCGATTAGCGCTCCGCGGCGGACTGCCCGCGCCCTAGGACATGCCACGGGAGCGAGGGAGACATCATTCATCCAGACTCCGTCAACGTAGGCGTAACTCGATGGTCGTATCTGAACGCTATGAACATTTATTTTACTAATGGACAATAAAATTATCTATCTGGAAAATTATCAGATATAACATTGCATATGAATAAAAACTAAAATTAATTCATAAGACTCAAAATAGATTAGTTAAAAGGCTCGTGATTCTATTCTTATCTTTTAATTATGTTATTAGTAAAACAATTATTTCTAATTAAGCTCCATTCAGTTATTCCGACGACTTTCCTTTAGTTCTAACGCGCACGTATTGATCACAAGCTTGGAAATAAATCAATTACGATAATACTGCTTACAAAGTAATGTTGAAGTAAACTGTTATTGTTGTTAAAGTTTCACTTGTAATTCTCTACAATAAACTAAGAAAACTAAGTATTTCGTAATGTAAATGAACTACAATTACGTTTACTTAAAAAACAATAATTTAAAGCCAACTGAAGTACACTTTTAGCACCATTAAAATATTCAAATCACGTACCAAACTCTCGGCCAGTATCCGACAAAATCTACCCGAATTGCCTTGAAAATTTGGAAGTGTTTGATTTATGTTATTGTGTTACTTATTGTATCTTTCGCTGTATATACATATGTACTTGTAATTAACGGAGCTTTTGTTTACTATCGCTTCTCAACATGTAAATGTTTGTAAATGTTTCATATAATATAACCATCCACCTTAATTGAGTAATTATCATTTGAGAAATAGGCTATCGAAGATACTGCTATTAGTTAACGGTTTTATTTAGCTTTGTAATTTAGACACATTTGTACATAGTCTAGCTCATCGTCTTTTTAGTAAATGTATTTAGTCAGGACTTTTACTGATTTGTTTAAAATGATATTTAATCGTTTTTGATAATATTTGACTATAAGTTGATTAAAAAAAATACCAAGAAATATCTTTTACATGCAAATAAACTAAATATTTATAACTTTAAACTGTCGTGGTTTTTACAATTATAATGTTCGTAAGATACGGGTTTCTTACCACGATTGGGTTGTTTTAGCTCCAACAACAACCTAATCTTTAGCTAAAACAACCAAATCGTGGTAAGAAACCCGTATCTTACGAACATTATAAACTAAATATTGTTCATTGGTCTATCTATGCAAGGCTGGCATGCCTTGGAAGACTTTCGGTCAAGGGCAAGTATAAAAATTGCGATTTAAGAAATTGAAGATATTAACACATCGTAGGCGGACTTGAAGATTATTTTCATCCTTAAGGATATTACTCCATCACAGTCAAATTTAAAATTTGTTTACATTTATTGTTTGCTGCTGTCTTTTTGATTGATGGATATAAACAATTTGCAAATTACTTTTCTTCACGATGAATTTACTAGAACGTTTCGTAACTACTTCAATGTAGGCTTTTGGCTCTTTTGTTTGATGGTAGCCAGAAAGTGTTATTGCCTCCAACTCCGTTTATATTGGAGACATAACGCTTGAGCAATAAACATAGAAACGACGTTAGCTACAATCAATGTCTATTACATTACATTTGCTCCTTTGTTTAAAAAAAAAGCAGCAGTAGAGATACGCTCCTTATGAGGAGTAAGGTCTGTTATTTTATTAGGGAAAAATATGGACGATGGACTTTTAAACGCAATAGAAGATACGTAAAAATTTACAAACCATTTAAATTTAAGCAGTTCAATAAAGGTAATAGGTACTACGTCAGCTGTTTGTTTTGGCACTAAACACAGGCGACCTCTAGTTAACCTACAATTTACTATAACAGTGGGCGCTGAAAACTTAATTGAAACCAGTACTAACATTTCTGTTATTGACAGTTCAAGTTAATATTTGCTTTACAAGCGAAACGTTGACTTTCGAAGTTCCAATAGTTGTAATAACAATAAGGTCGATCGGTATGACAGCAATGAGTCCCAAATTAGACACATTCCCATGGCCGAGAGATTGAACAGAAGAAATGGTCACACAAAACACGTTGTGGTTTCTTATCCACGCGTAATGACATATTTATTATATGAATGTTTGCAGCCTCACGTATTTATAAAGTATCAAGTCAAAACTTGTAATGATTATAACTTAAAAATATTTAAATAGATTTGTTTTTCAAAAAAATATACACGTACACTTCGTTTAAACAACTTTACTACTAGATGGCGTTGTATGTACCATATAATGCTAATTCTTTTTTAAAACAGTTTTACTTAACTAGCCTTGTTTGTTGTTTACGTAGGTATAAATTAGATTTAAATTTTTAAAAAAATATTTATCGTACGTAAAAATGTATTAATATCAGAATTATTCTTAAACCATTGTTAGATAAACAAACATTTCACGTTAGTGTAAAACCCGAAGTTAGAAAAACTGTTAAATTCTCTCGAGAACCAAATAATATCTCTTCATCTAAGTTATTATGTGAAGTGACTTGAGAGCGAACTTAAAAAAAACAGCGAAATCTTCGTACTGTACATATAATGTTACAAAATAAGGGTTATAAAATGCTAAAAATGACGCAGCAAATGCTCATGCAATATTCATCAGTAACCTTAATACGCCTGTACTTATTTCCAGAGTCGTTTCATGTTGCGACATACAAACTTTTTCGTATACTTACGGTGAGTTTAGAAGCAAAAAGTAATGTATCAATATTGGAAGATGCTTTAGAAGATTTAGAGTCTGACCTACCACTAGCTGATAGAGGCTCAGATAGCTTAAAAATGAACGTCTCTGGCAGATAAGGTAACAAAATCCGATATTTACATGACATATTTAACACGTTGGATTGGTATCAGATAATTTAAAATTTGGTTGGACAGGCCCTTATTGATATATATGAGCTATTGGATACATTATCTATAACCGAAACTATTAAAAATATACTATAAAAGATGCAGTACATTTTTGCATACATGTTTCAGCAGTGGAAACCAAACTTTTAAAGCGAAATCGTTGGGTTTTTCGTATTAATAAGCTCTATAATAACTTTATTCCAAGCTTAACTGAATTATATTCTAGTTTAGAACCTGTTTTTGATTCCTAATGAAGCATTCAAGCAATGTAATATTGATTAATTCGCCGTTGCTAATTGTTTTAGGCAAATGAATCTCTAGACATTTGTTGTGCGGTTATTCTAATGTTTTATTATTAATTATATGGTATCGAATTATTATTTAAACAATTATTATCTTACTTATTTCAATTATTTCTATCTTATCTCTAAAAGGCTGCTTTCTTTCTAGATATTAAAATAGAGCAAGATAGGTAATATAAAAAAACGTAATTATTTTTTCTAGTAGGAAGTCAATAAAAAGTATTGACAAAAATCGTCATCATCGAAAATCATTGAAAATCTTTATTTTTTTTAAAAGCAATATAATCTGCAAAAACATTTATGAAGACAAGCTTTTAGACGATTGAAAAGTAACTTCTGGGTGACATCGTCTGACAAAATAAATTATACTTTTAATTTGATTTCCCTTTACTTATTTGTATTTAATTAATCAAAAGGCGTTTGTTAACTTTGTGTTGAATATGAAATGATTCTTTTATAGAAATGGAAATAACTAGATTAATTTTAGTTTTACTAATTAATTGAAAATAAAACAGAACACACAACATGGTAGAGTATAAAATGTATAACACTTGCTTTCTAAAAGATTAATGGAAATGTTACACGGTGCATTTACGTCCATTCTTGGATTTGCTGTAAAGTACCTTTGACGAAAATATCTGTACGGCTAGGAATTTAATTTGTTCAGATCGTCGCAACCGACGATAGCTGTTTAAAGGCTTTAAAATGTAGCTTATTGGAGTGAATGTTGTGAACTTGTTCCTATTTTTAAAATGTTTTTTGTTAAATGTACATAACTAGACGTTTTAATTAATGTGACTTAGAACTTAAAGTAGCTTAAAAATAATACTTTTCAAATCAATGCTAAGATAATAAGACATAATAAAATGAAATACAATAACTTTCCGCGTCTAAAATTCTTTTAACATCGATCCTGAGGCGTCACGTTTTCAATATTGTTTTTAATTTCCTGATATTTGAAAGAAATAATAGAAGTCATTATTTTTATGTAATTTACTGGAACGAAGAGGAAATTCGATCATTCTGCGAGCTTTCTATTAAAATCAATATAAACTTGATAAGCTTTAGTTCACTGTACAAGTAAGCTTTTCTCAAGCTTCGGAGATCTAAGCAACTCTATTAGGTTTAGTTGTCAAGTAACTTTTTAAGGCTTCATAGATGACTGGTTGCGAAAATCAATTGGCAGCTTTGGAGGAATGGAAACACCCCAGGTATTTAACAATAAAAATATTGTAATAAGTATATATGCAATAAGAGTATGTCATGTAGCAATATCACAATGATATTTACTTGTCAAGGCTTTGTCTAATTGCATGAAGTTACAAAATTTGAATCTGCTTAAATACTACTTAAACTCATGCAATTGGCCTTCTTATATTTATCAATAAGTTAGTTTTTATATAGCTTGTAAAATACTTTGTAACATTACTCACATTTGCCGCCAACAACAGGAAACCAAGCAACAACTAGTTAGGGTAGAATTGGATACAAATGACGTCTAATTTTATGATTCTTTAATGTTGCTATGCAAAGAATTTCGTTTTTGATTACACATTGGAAGTATTCCAGAAGTAAAGCACTAATGCTTTCGACGCTGCCCACGATGCATATTTGTGATGCAAATAAATGTAAATTATACGTCTTCACGGTCTACTGAGCATATTTTTTTCACTTCCACTCATGCATGTTAATGTAGAATCTCTTACTGAATTGATATCAGCTCATTAAGTCTGTGAGTAGGCGTAAACAAAATAACTGGGTACTGCTTCTTAATTCTCTTTAGAAGGAATTATGGAGAGAAACACTAAAGTTTATTATCTCTACTAGATAATGATGGTTAT